CGCAGCTTCATGCATTGTCCTCAATGTGTAGCTGCCTCACATCTGAGCTCCACTGATCGATTCATGATTGCAATGAAACTCCACAACTCTATACTGAAAACGAATAGTTTATTTTCATAAGTTAATGAATTTGATTGATTGTTTCATAATAGCTTATACATTTATTTCTCAATTTGTGTTTGTCGACTACATGTTAAATAATCGTCCTACGAGTTAAAAATCATCAATATTACATTCACTTGACTTAGTTATTTCTAGAGGCAACATTATCTGTTCTCTTTTCCTTATCAACATGTATTGTATCTGGTATTTTCTGATATCTTCAGCTTTGTCTAGTGTGTGAATATTGCAATATTAAAATGTCAGTCAGTCAGTCAAATGCAACGTAGAACTTCGTACGTAAGTACATCAGTTCATGTTGCCATACCACATCAGCACAGAGATATAATTGTCAATTCAAATCCAATTGTAGAAGAGGTAGTAACGGTGTTAGAAGTAATCGGAGAGGTTAGGATTAGAAGATATTATTCAAGAAGTATGATTCAGTTAGAAAAGTTTAGAAAGTCAAAACTAGAGGTGTTGAAGAATCCAAAAGATTAGGATTTGGGAGAACACAAAGAATAAATGCACCGGCGCCATTGCGAACGATTTTCAGCCATGTCATTCAGAGTCTCTAACCATCGATTATTATCATCTCGCGGACCCCAACCAGGTAGTCGACAATTACCGACATGGCTCAGTCCACTAGTCAATGACTTCATGGATTTCTGCCATGTGTTGGTTTGGCCGCCCCTAACTTTCTTCCAACCTACTCCTACACTACAAAACAAATTTCGTTGAGGCAGTCGGTGGTTAGGCATACGCAGGACATGTCCCAACCACCTCAACTGATGAAGTTTCACCACTTCATCTATTGATCTGCCATCCTTACCTAGCCTCCGATTCCTAATAACAGCGTTGCTCACTCGGGTGTCCCAGGATATACGAGCAATGCTTCGAAGACACCTATGATCGAAAACCAGTAACCTACGGATATCTTCTACTCTCATTGGCCATGTTTCACAGCCACAAAGTAAGACGGAGCGAACTACTGCGCAGTACACTCGTCGTTTAGTCAGCAAACGGATATCACGCATACGCCATAAGTGACGCAGGTTGGCAAAAGCCAATCGAGCCTTCTGTATCCGAGCTGAAATTTCGTCACAAACCAGGCCATCGGCACTGATGAGACTCCCAAGATAAGTGAAGCGGTCAACACGTTCGACTACTTCACTCCCTATCACTAGTTCAGATGCCGATGCAACCCAGTCTTGAAGCAACATTTTGCATTTCGAGGGGGAAAACCGCATCCCGAACATGCTTGCACTGTTGCTTAGGGTGGTCAGAAGATTCTGCATTTTGAATGTAATTATTATTAGTTCTTATTGAAATGTTTCATCAAAAAATAAAAATGAAATTATGTCTAAGAGATATGATCAGATAATTTTAAGACTATATATGTAAGAGGAAACAAAAATCTGAGTTGCTCTGTTCCAATTTGGCTAATCCCGAGCCATGTCATCCAACACAGCTCTACTCATTGGTTACTGTAATCACACAAATTTCAACCAGATTATCTACATTCACCGACATGACTAATCCAAATGATTTCATACGCGGGTACCATGTTTTATTTTAACTTTCTCCCTAATTTTCTACTAATCTACTCCTGCACTAACTAATTTATTCATAGTATGCCTTAACTAATACCATTTAATATAGATTGTAGTAGCTGATTACAATTAATTGAAATCCAGCTAGGTATTTTTTGGCTTGGCAGCTGCTGTCTTAACGTGGTGGTCGGGTTTGGCTATTATGACAACTCAACCGAGTTATATTTACTGGAAAACATGTTTCTTTTGGTCCTACCAGGCCGGACAGGTTGGTAGAAGTACAGTAAGACTACAAGCAGCAATTTAAGGTCTGAGGACAAAGTCATACTGCTGACTATAGATGTGTGTGACAGCAGTAATCAGCATTTGCAGCAATGCTGTCTTCTCACAACGGAAAAAAGGTTCGCGAATTCTCTACCATGTAGTCTCGCACTTCACCTTACCCCATAAATTTCCATCTCCGATGGTAAGGCCTTTTGAAGTGAGGAGAAAAATTCATCAGAAATTTCCTACAAAATAGCTGCGCGTAACTAGTCTAACTCAACCCCCCTTTCAGGCTCTTCAAGTAGAAATATCCTTTCACAAAGTGGCTAATCGGGACACGACAACCGCCCTCGTACTTTTAACAGCATACGAGATCATCTTGTTCACAACCTCACACTAATGATATCATATAATTAGAATGTAATTATTACTCTCGAATATCATTTTCATTGTTATCTTTTATCTATTGTATTGTTGTCTTGCGTTTTGACAGTCATTTTAATTAGCTTCATATAAATTCAGGGGTGATTTTACAGTTTCGTAACCACATGGAATTCTCCCTCTCACTCACCTACTCATTGATGATAGGCAAATAATCTGCCCACAAGATCAGTTTGGTAGTTATATTGTAACAAATTATACCGCAAATAGTTGTGTTCAAAAATTCCAGATGTATTTATGGATTTCTGAAATGCCGGTCAAAAAATATTTCAGTGTTAATTGTTTCAAAAAAATCGATATCTTAACGGTTAACCCACTCAGGTTTTAATCAACATATCTAATACCATTCCACATACTTCGGTCTCGATGACTAGATAGTACTATTTACTAGCGTGAATGAAAGTTGAACATAGAACTATGTACTTAGTAGATGAGTTACATTGATAATACGTCTGAATAGCCTAGTGGTAACGTTAAAAATTGTGTTCACATCCACATTAGTACATAAGTTTGCACATGATTATAGGTACGCCTTACCTACGAGTAGCAACCAGCATTAAACCTTGTTCTTGGGTTCCCGTTAACTCCTTCAAGTATTAATTAGTCTACTACGTCTATTGTAATTTTTATTTTGAATCCTTCGAATGGTAGATATACGAGTCAGTAATTTAAAACCTGTTTCATTCAAAATAAATGGTTTAAATGTCTTTTCTTTTAGTGACCGACTTAAGACCTAGTTAGTAATTAAACTATCTATATTATATCAAATAGCCGAATATACCTCCTAGTTAGTTTTCGTTACTTCGATGAATATGAATTAGTTGATATTCTTCGCATAAATCACAACCATATACATTTTACATTCACACTATTCAATCTTTTATTGAACATTTCATGTGATTCTGATGATTGCAGTGTTCTTTATTCTCTCATCCAGCATTCCCTTACAAAATATTCCAATTATATATGTTTTTAGATGTCAATGGACATAAAAACTACTGTCAAATTATAGTTGAATAAATGAACAGAAAATGATGAAACTTTTTCAAATGATTCTTTCATTTGACTATGATATATTTATTCAGTATTTTTTACTTTATGTTATATATTTTTTCGGATAAATTCTGCCCTAATCATAAGCTTTCATTCATTAAAACTAGTAATTATATGCTTCACTGTCTATAAATTACTACCAGTAATTAATTAGGCTACCTGGTAATGTGTTTATTGTATCATAAATAATAACCGGATTGCATTATAGATTGTGATTTTTTATTTCTGGTTTTTTTTTTTTTATTTCATGATATGTCTTAATTTTGTAATTGATCACCATTGTCGTCATGTGTTTTCGTGTCAATAATAAATTGACCAACCAGTTATTACTGTTCTCATGATACGATTGGCTATTAAACGAACAAGGAAATAAATGCATTTGCATGAACCTAATACACATTGTAATTGACTATCATTCATATTTATTGGTTAAGCAAAACGATCATTGGTATCATTGACGTAATGCGAACTCATGATTAGTGGACTGTATCATTTAATTATTTTATGAAGTAGGCGTGTATACATTTGGAATTTTTTGTTGCCAAAAACTCATTTACTGAATAAACTGTACTACTTGGTTAATTTTTTTTTTTACTAAAATAAATAATTTCAACTCTTAATGATGCAGTTTCAATCCCCGCCATCTTAAATCTCAACTCCATTGCAGAGTGGACAGCATAAATTATTAATCTGGGCGCATTGATTGGAATTATGATGAGTTTGGTTTAAAAACTATTTTTTTTTTGAAAAAATGATTCAGTATTCAAATCATTATGAATTCAATTGTAAAATTTATTGCACTACGGGCGTAACCTTTGGCTGTTTGTTGCATTGAAAAGATTCTACTTATATGGGCAGCATAATTAATGAACAAGATGGATCTGATGTAGATGTGAAGGTGCAAATCGGCAAAACAAGTGTAGCATTTCTATGACTCAAGAATATCTGGCACTCAAAGCAACCATCGACAAACACCGAAGTCAAAGTCTTCAACACGAATGTCAAGACAGGTCTACTGTATGGGGCGGAGACTTAAAGAACCACGAAAACCATCGTCCACAAGATACAAGTGTTTATTAACAGTTGTCTGCGCAAGATTACTCCACACACATAGTATAAACCAGATTTCAGTGGAGAAGGAAATCGGCAAGAAGCGCTGGAGGTGGATAGGACAAACTGAGGAAAGAACCTAACTGCGTCACACGACAAGCCATAACTTGAAATCCCCAAGGCCAAAGGCGCAGAGGAAGATCAAAGAACACATTACGCATACATGATGTACATCAGTTGCATAGAACTGGAAATGGAAACCCAGGACAGAGTAGGTTGGAGAATGCTAATCGGCAGCCTATGCTTCACCAGAGACAACAGTCTTAAGTAAATAGATAAATTTGTCCTACTTAGGACTCATCAGTTGAGTATACCTGTATCCCAATGGATTGACTAATCAGTTGCAGTCTTTACCGATCAACAACATGAAAATCTAATCCCTTGTACCTATTTCAAAGATTGAACTTCTTCAATTTATCATCAAGTTAATTTTTTTAGTCATTAAACTTTCATGTATATTTATTTTTCTCTTCTTTTCAGGTTTATGTTGGTACTGCAACAGGTCCGGATAAATTGCATCCTTCCAATATTGTTTCCTTGCCAAAATTTAAGTGGCCAGATGTTGAAGCTTATCATGTTATGTTTTGGAGTCCAACAACTGTAACTAACACACACAGTAATAATAACAAAAATAATGATATAAAATCTTCTAAAGGATGGTTAGCTTGTCGTCCATGTCTATCGAATAGCGCTACATTGTCATCTGCTAAAATTCCTCAACAATCTACACATAAAATTACGGAAGTTTATTTAAATAATAATCTTTTAACTATACCAAACAATGTTAATTATTATGAAGCGATATTTTGGCTTAAACCTGGTGATTTATTACGTCTTGGCAAGAAATCATCGAATCAATTGAAAATTTGGTCAATAGTTATGCCAATCAATAGACAACACATCCCGAATCCTCATCATCATCATCATCATCAACAACAACATCATCAGATAATCACATCAAATTTACAATCTCCTATTATTAATAATAATAATAATAATAAACCTTATGATCATCATGTTCACCATCATCATCAGCAGCAGCAGCATCAACCGATGATGAATCGCGATCAGTTCACTCCTTCTCAGCATAAAATAATCAATTCACCGTATATCAATACATATTCGTCTGAATATTTTATTTCACATGATAGTTTATTGTCTAATGTTAACGTACAAAATCAGGTAAAATTATATAAATAATTTTGATGATTTGTTAATTGTTTTACTTTTTTTTTTATTACAGTTTTCTTGGTGTTTATAACTTTCAATCATCAAGTGTACCTTTTGACAACTTTCCACTTTAAATCAGTTGGCAAAATGTACTCTATGAATGTCTGCTTTGACTACAAAGCTGAATAATTACTCGCTTAGATATGCCAGGAAACATGCGCTCCCTTAACACCTTTACTGATAAAAGCCAACCTTGTCTGGTGTAGGCAGTAACTACCAAAGGCAAATTGGTGATGCCGGCCCAGTGGTTCAGAGGTTAGGCGTCCGCGCACAATACCGAAGGTCCCGGGTTCGAATCCTGTGAGGTGCAGGATTCGTGGATGCGCACTGCTGATGAGTCCCGTTCCAGAACGAAACGGCCTTGCCAGTGCTTCCAGGTTTCTAATGGTGGTTGATGATTTCAAATGTGTAAAAAGCTCACTCGTACTAAAACAGGTTAAATAAGGTTGTTTTTTGTTGACTACCTTTTGACTAACAGTTTACAGTTTCATTTAATGCGAACATTACAAGTTTCGCTATCTATATGACCATGAAATAACAACCAATATATTTTTTAGTTGATTTACTGTTAATTTTTATGCTGTAACTATAAACTCCATCATTGACATCAAGATTAATAAAAGGTGTAATTTATAATTAACTAAGCAAAGTGTTGACGGAATCATTCTTCCGTGGAGTTTTCTCGGTACTCAAGGCACCATATATTTCCGAAGCCTGACAAATACAATACTAAAGATTCCCATTGTGAAAATTAGAACAACACATATAAGTGAACAATATTGTTTTCGATTAGATCGATTAGAGGAGTCCTCCTCTATGTGCATTTACAAATTCAGCTGCTCCTGTGGAGATAGCTTTATCGGGCGTACTTCCTGGCAACTTACACAACGAATGAGTGAACATCTCCCAGCATGGTTTACGAAGGGTCAGTCAAAAACAATACGCAGTTCTATCTTAGCACACCCGGTAGATAGTGGTCACATTGTAGATAAATCTAGATCTTTTCGGGTGATCTATCGTATACCTCCATCATTTCCCAACGGAGTTCGATCCCGTCTCCTACACATTGCAGAAGCCATAGGAATACGTACATTCAACCCTAATTTATGTGTTCAGAAGAAATTCGTGACACCCGTATCTCTTCCGTGGCCGGATATGACTTAACTAACGATGGATTTTTATTTTTACACATTTGCTTATTACGTAATGTTTTTGATGTTTTTGATGATTATTTGAATTCTATTCATCCACCTTTGACCTACTTTAGTTATCATATTTTATAAATTTTCTTACTACTATCAGTACACCTGTTTTCCTAGTATCCACTTGAACTTTTACCTTTTTCATTTCATTGTGATTATCACTCAAATTGCCTTGATTGGTTTAACATTTTAATATAAATATTCATGTATATTAGAGTAAAGCCTGATGACGATCTAATCGAAAACAATATTGTTCGCTTATATGTGTTGTTCCAAAATACAATACTAAATAAAACTATCACAGTCGAAACTACAGCTTTATTTTTTGTTCATGCGCGACCTCAAGTACAAATACAATCAACGTAATGAAACGTTAGGTTTCCTATTATTCTTCATTCAAAATAAATTGTATCTAATTCAGTTAGTCAAAATAGAGAAAAATTGAATTCAATAGAGCAAAATAACCCATGACTCAAGTCTTACTTTATCTCTCTCTCTAGGTCATTTGACTAGTAATAAAAGGATTCTATTGTAACCAATCAGAAAATAGTGCACATTCTCAATTGAAGAGAAGTAATTCTTACAAGCATAACATTCAATGACTCATATAATTGGTAATTAACAAATAAGTAGGAGCATTATTATTGATCTATCTATCTATCTATGCAGTAAACTTTTCATGTCCTATTATTATGAGTATCAACAATGGAATAAGTACATATTCACCTCAGACTGAACGAAACTCAAGACTTCTATTCCAATGCTAGGGACTGTAGCACATTGTAGTTTTGAGATTTCACACGTTTGCTCAGTAATTAATTCATAGATTTTCAGATCTTAATTATCAGTTACATGCATACAATCACTTGACGGTAATGAAGTTTAGCACTTGATATAAAGTTTGTGATAAAATATCACAAATTGACTGTATGTAACTAATAGTATTTGGTTTAGTTCATTGATGTTTAACCAGGGTGATACATGTATAATTTAGTACAAACAGAGTTAAAATGATCTCTCAATGTACTAGTTTTTGTTTAACCAAGAATATCGTAACAGCTGTTGGATATGATTGTTTTATGTACTTAAATCTCAGGTTTCAGTTTTTGCTTTGTCGATTTGAGCAGTTCAGGTTGTGTATCACAGGCTGACACAGAAGACGAATGTTGTTCAGAACAACGTAAGTTAACTTACTCTTAATAAGTGAGTGACATCATATTGTACATCATCCATCAACTCTCTACATATCTATGACAACGATTATTTTAACCCTTATGATCTTTTGTTATTTTAACAAGTTAGGGAAAGTCAGTTCTTCATCCTACAGATGTGAATTACTGTGTGTGTGCCTTGAACACTACTTTACTCAATTCGTTCATGAGCGCTGATTAGGTTGAAAATGTCGTAATCAGCTTTTTCTTAATCGAGCTTGATCAAGGCATGATATAATCAGGACTCTGTCTAATCAACCACTGCTTTTAAAGATGTAACATTAAAACAAACCTCTCGGTTTCGCTCTATTTCCCATCTGTAATTGTTGATGTTAGATTGGTTATAGATATTTTTGATTGATAAATATGTCTGTTCTCTCTCTCCAAATGCTCTCATATGACCACGTGTGTATAGTCGTAATAGTTCCCTTCTCACGACGAGGGTTTCTTTTAATAAAATTGAATGCACGAGAAAATAATATCCGGTGCTTAAAACGGGTTGGTGGGTATGGAGGATCTACTCGTGAGTGTTGAAAAACCCTGATTTCAAACCAGTGCTTGACATGGTGTATAGGATCTTGACAGACCAAATGGTCTACGAACCTATTGTTAGTCAACGACTACTATGGGATCGCATATCCTAACGTTGCTCCACAGCTTTGTAGATTAGACGTGTAGATCAAAGGCTCAGAAAGAGACTTCCTCGGAAAACCACTTGTTAGTTTGATCATTCATATACACATTCAATGATTTGTGTGATGAATATATGTATATGTATATATATGTATATATATATATATATATATATATATATATATATATATATATATATTACTCCTTAGTACCAACGTTTATGTAAGTTTGATTGAAATATCATGAATATCAAAATACATTGACAGTGGAGAATTCCAAATTTATATACTACACAGTGGACCAGTTTTGGTTGTATCGAATTCCATAAATGTCTATTGGTTCTAATTAACATCTCATATTCCTATAGCCAAAAGCAAAAATATTCATATACTTTGGAAACAAAGAAATAATACTATTCATGGAAATCTAAATAATGAGTTTAACAATAGAAAATTATCTATGAATGCTTAAAATAACACAATTTAAGATTGATTAGTTAGAGAATGAAGAATACTGAGATACTGTGACTGCTATTGAACCATGTCACTCAATATTATCCAACCATAAAACATAACTATTACAATGACTCTCAACCAAGACATATTTTATTTATTTCGACTGTTCAAATTTTTATGTGTTGATATCATATCGTCAGTGATGATTTTTTTTCAGTTTGAATTAGAAAGTCGTTCTACTTGAATTGCCCTTGTCAACTGACTCATCACCACACGTTCTGATTAGTTCCAGAATTTTACCTTGAAATCATGAATGAATCACTAAAAACGTGGAAGTACTGGACGGTCATTTGATCCTGGTATGGAACTCACCATCAAGGCGCATTGACGACTCCTACAACTCGCAGGATTCGAACCCAGGATCTTCGGTCTTGCGCGCGAATGCCGAAAGTCCTGGGTTCGAATCCTGCGAGTTGCAGGAGTCGTAGATGCGCCCTGATGGTCAGTCGCATATCAGAATGAAACGGTCGTCCATTGCTTCTAGGTTTCTAATGCTAGTGTAACGATGATTCATTCATGATTTAAAGGTAAAACTACCAACTCCATAACACTGTAAATGAATAATCCCAGAATATGAGAAATAGCTTCTCACTGAAATGGATGATTAAATGCTTAAGTGGGTGATAAGTAACATGCTTAAAATCTTCTTTATTGTATAGATAGATACACTACTGCAAATCGCTAACAATGCAATATTACAAAATATCAAAACTTGTAGAAATTTTGTTTTCTAAATTATCCAATCTCTTTTTTTTGCTATTTCTTTATCATTTTATTTTGTGAATATTCAAATAAATTGTTAATAATTTATTATTGCTTTCATTTATTTATTTGTAGAATAGTTATCTAGTCAATAAACGATGTCCTCCTATGGCTAATCCAAATTCCATATGTGATTCATCATCTTCTCTATCATGTACTTCAACATCGGAAACCATTTCGAACGATTCAACTCGTTCATCCTCGTCTTCTTCCGTGAAAATTGTCAATAATCTCGATTTAACTATTCAACAACAATATAATCAAAACAATCTAGTGCAACTTCATTCAGACATGAATTTCAAAAATTTGAAGAATAATGAAACCGCGAAAATTATCACCACTGTACATACTACTACTACTACTACTACTACTGCTACTGCTACTACTACTCCATGTATCCATAATGAACTACATTCTATCGATAGTTGCCCTACTTATTCTGTCAATGATAGCAGTCATCATACACGATTATTTAATCAAGACAACAATAATAATCATAATCATTATAATAATAATAATACTCTATCATCAACCAATTGCAAACTATCTACTACTCTCCTTATTGATTCAGAATCATCATATCGTACTACTAATACAATTTGTTCAGGTAAGATAAGTTTTGGATGAATTTGTGTGTATTGATTGTTGCATTGTATATTCTAATTATATGTTTAAAGATTCATTTTAATTTTCTTCTGTGTCTTTTTTTAATGTACGTAAATTATGAATGACCTATAAAAAAAGTATAGTGTAATTGGAATAAACCAATCAGAATAAAGAAACACTGAGTTTTTTTCTTTGCGAAAAATTCAAAATCCGCCGAATTCTGTCTTGTGTCACATAAAATGAGCTGTGAAAATATCTTTGTACAGTGCTTAAAATGTTAATAATACCCACACTGGAAAATTGTTTTCCTGCCATAGAGTAAAATTAATGGCGTTGAATGTATAAAATTCCTAACTCTTTCTAAATATATTGTCTAAACACAAAAACACTGACGCTATTCCTTATTGGTCTTCTTGGTTTTTCGCTGGAAATCCATTCATCTCTAGATCGATAAAGTGTTTCCGCACTACAGTGTATGTGAGTTCATGATTAAAACTCTAGATACTTAACCTTAAATACGAAAAATATAGTGACTACTGTAATTCTATTCATTTCTTTAGAAGAGTGCAAAAGGATTAATAATTTGTTTCATTTTTTATGAACAAATAATCACTATTTGTAATATTAATGTTCCCTAAGATTATTTATTCAAACAAGAGCTGTTTTCTAATTTATTCGACTAAAATCCCATTGAAATTCGTTGTGGTTGTTTAAGCGCGAACACCTAAATTTTAGTCTACTCCTGAAGTCTTACTGAGAGAATTTATGGCCATTGTAGTTCAACCATCTTGGGTATGGGACAGTCATGAATGAAAGTGGTTGTGCGATTCCGTTAATTGATTTAAGTTAGACAAATTCATCATAGGATGCCAGCTCAACGATCCTAACGATTAGGCCTCTGCCTACAAGACCAGAGGTCTTGAGTTCGATACCCGATGATGGTGTTGTGGCTGCGCACTATCGAGGAGTCTCATGCTGCAATGAATCTGCTGTTCAGTGATGTTCAATAGCTTTTATTCAACCAATTAGAAAACAATAAAAAAAAATAGTTTACTTATAAGTAATATCATTGCTAGATCACAGAAATTACTCTATTTTCATCTTTGAAAAATATTTACGAACTTTTATGTATTTCTTGCATTCATATTAACCTTTTGTGTTTTCCATTCCCATTGTAACTCTCCTAATTTTCCAGAACAATTGCTCTCACCGAATCATTCATTTTGTTCAACTCCATCAAAAGCAGATCCACCTATGCAAAACAACAAGAAAGGTTCGACACGCACGAAAACTTCCATTTCTGATCGCTTACCTTGTCAGATGGCATTCGCTCCCGCAACTTTGGAACAATTATTAGATTGGATTATCATTAAACAGCTGAAATTCGCACATCAACCAAGAAATCGTCATACTACTACTACTACTATTACTGATACAACTACTACTTCTCTTGACAATAATAATCAATCCGATATAACCATAGATCTGTGTCCTTTAGGCCCAGCCATGTGTGTTTATTTAATGCTACGAGCTATATGTCGACAGTGTGATCGTTGGGAAGCGATTGAATTAAAACAGTTAACAAAAAACCCTGAACCTAAGGTAACTGACATCAATATAACAGAGGAGAAAGACGATCCGTTGAAAAATAATTCATTAGTAAGTTTTTCTTTTATCTTCATTGAAATTATGAGCCGTTCAGTGTTGAACTACCAGGGAAAATCTGGAAGCACTGGACGGCCGTTTCTATCTAATACGAAATTCCTCGGTTCTATGCATTCACGACCTCACAACTGAGGATCCAACTCAGAGCTTTCGGTCTTGCATACGAAAGCTAAACATCTAGACCACTGAGCTTTCATTCAGCAGTGTTAATATCTAACCCCGATCAACCCACAATATTGTGCGATCATTTTCCATTGTCTTCAACAGGTAACTGCTGCGCACTAGACACATTTAAACGCTACCGGTCGCGGCTTTCAAGCGTAAGACATAGGGTCATTGTTTCGATTCATGTGTGCACAGCCGTGGATGCTAAGCTCTGATGATTCTTGTACTAGATAGAACAGAACAGTCGTCCAGTGCCTCCTGTATCTGAACCGCTGTCTTACTTTGATTGTGTTGTGATTTTAGTAAAACTATGACTATTTCATCTAGTTGATGTATCTTTCTGATGCCTCATTTATGATATGAAACTTGTTCAAACTTTACTACTGGAGTTCTGCTACATATGGGCATATCCACATTTTATTTTCGCATTACATGTTATCCATCTTTTTTGTTGTGTTCCTGGTTCATCCGATCAACCATAGCGGTCGCTTCTGCCCATTTCGCTGATATCATCGAGCCATATTAGCTGATGTGTTTTCCTAAGTTTCTACCGTACAATGCAGATTACTTGGAGGTCAATAAGATTGAAAGTAAGCAAGCTTACTGACCGAGGACAAAATGGTACTTTTGTTAGGATATTCATCCAATATCCTAAGACAATTATTGGTCAATTTTATGGTCGTCCTAGATATCATTGTCACGTGCTCCAATGTTGTCACTTCAAATGTTGCTTCCATTGGTCGTCTTAACTGTCAATGTCACAGACTTCGATGCTGTTTCCTATTCGACCAAAATTTATAAATACGCATTGTCTGTAACGTTTTATGACTGGGTCCTTGACCCGGTCCCGGATCCCTAGTCTGGGATCCTGATTTTCTTCTGGATTCGGACCTCGTACTCTGTGGATGCTTGTAGAATACAGGTTCTACTTCACATTCAAGTCTTCTTATTTTTTACTCAATATGGGGGTCGGGATAATCGGATTTGAGTAGCATGTTGTGTCACTGGATCCTCGATCCTCGCTCTCACGTTTCCGACCAGGTAAACTGGTAATAGTTCAAGCACATCAACCTGACGTGCTTACGTGCAGGCGTAACAACTGAAAACCGTAATGAAGACATCTATCATCCATAATGAGAATACTGCCTGTTCACCATGGAAAGTTAAAATCTACTGAAAAAAAAATAGCATGATAACATATTCTTTTTGTTTTTACATTGTCAATTGATTCTTGCATAGAACAGATTTTTTTTTATATTCTTTTTAAAAATTTTATCCATAGACAAACAATGATGAATTATTGGCTTTAAATCAACTCAAACGAAGGCAACGACATTTGTTCAGTCTTTTAATAAGTACTGTGAATAGATTTCAGAATTTCGAATTATATGTAAATGAATCCATCAAAGAAATTGATTTAAACTATCCGATTACAGAAATGGAATACAATAATTGTTCAACGAATATGAAATCTCTATCGCTATCGAATTATGATGATATAGACTGTAAATTTATTAATTTGATCAAATCTGTCACAGCTTGGTTAGCGAATACAAGTCAATTACTGCATCTAATCACTTGTGATATTGATTTCAATAGGACTTTTAAGGTTTGTTTCGTTTTTTTTTAATTTTTTGCTAACCCAAATAATGTCTCAAGTTTTTTTTTGTGTGCTGATTTCATCACAGTTACATATAAATCCAGGTATCATCATATACTGACGAATTTCGGTGTCATCTATTGTTCATCCCTTACTCATATGTCGATTATAGCACCTTTTTGAATTGTTCAATTGCTAAGTCTAACTATCTAATTCTATAAATGAAGGCCTCCGTGTCACAATACACTGATCGTGTCATGTTTTACCGCATATAATTATCACAGTCTGGTCATTTTATTGTTTTCGATTATAAATGTTCGCCAAGTACATATACATATATCCTGTCTCACTAAACCATAGTCAGGTGAGGACATTAACATGTTACAGAGTTGTTAGGCATATGTACAAAACCTTCCCGTGAATCATCATTTGCAAACTCATCCTTATTTGTTTCAGATTTCAGTGTTCTTTCATTTAGACTGTTCAGACTTCAGTTCACTTTACGTTACCTACAAATCGTCTTCTGTTCTCATTCTTTCCTTCTCGATCTTTTGCTGTCAGACGTTTGATTTCCATTTGATATCATATACTACTTATGTGAACATAAGTAGCGTACACCACAATAGGAACCCAGTCGGTTATGTATGATTTTCTGATGCTGCTAGCCTAATCAACTTGCTTCAGATTGTTTTATACTTGTTCTCGAAAAGTATGGATAGTCTTATTGGATATTCTATTGTGTTGTTCTTACCAGTCAGTGTTATTCATTGAACTGGTGTAATTTATCATTGACACACAAAGCAATGAAACCGCATACTTCTGATTAGCTGACTTTCGGCTTGTGATGGTATTATAAAGATGACTGATTCAGGTTTTCCAGATAATAACATATTACCGTAAAAAGATTTGATTTTTAATTTCGCCGATGAATAATTCTCACTAGAAGCTTATTTGTACATTAATTTTTCCATTTTTTTTCTTCAAATTTACACTTGTTCTTTGTTTGAAATTCTCATTGCAAACATTATTTTTTATTTGTCTGAAAAATAACTACGCAATACTACATTGTCGTTTTCTTCAAAAATACAATCTAGGGAAAATTTTAAATCTCTTAAAAAGTTGTTTTATGCTTCTTTTGACGTGATTTTCATTATTTTGTTTATTATTATGATTATTATTATTATCATTATTATTCGGTTCGCTAGTCAGTCAATTGTAAGACTTGTACTCGCATGGATGCACATGCATTTGTGTACACACATACGTACGGCAATGTATGCAATGATTAATTGAGTGAGTACACACATTGATCGTTCATTGGTAAATTTATGCCTTTTTCATCTTTATCTTTAGTAATTTATTATTAGTATTATTGTTTTTATTCATTTTAGTCTACTGAGACATTGACAATGAATAGTAATTTCAATGAGTAAATGGCTTATTAAGAATGTAACCGGCTCCCATCATACACATATATATATCCTCATGCACACATACACACATGGAAGGAGAGATAGCAAAAGCTACGCATTTTATTTCATCCCATCAATCATTGCTTCTTGTTGTTGTTGTTGTTGTTGTCGTGTTTTTTGTTTTCTTTTGAAGAAAATTTTCGCCGGTTTGTATTAATTTTTTCTCTTCTATACTCCTATCAAGCCTTGTTCACTTTTTTTCTTTCGAACTTCGATTGTGATGATACATATACTAAGCCAATTAGTATTTTCCTTTTTCTTATCTATACAAACTTATCAATTCTTAGCCACCTATCGCTAAATATACACAAGTTGGTGTTGTTGTTGTTGCTGTTCCATGGTTATCTCTTCACTGTCAGTGATTTCTTAGCGTGATTACTCATTATCAATTTTACTAATCAACAAACATCGCTTTTGAAGTTGATGCTAGTTTTTATTTTGTCAGCTTAGCAAATAAAGTTTTCACACATTTATTACAGTGTATACTGTCTCTCTCTCTCTCTCTCTCTGGTGTGTGTGTGCGTGTATCTCTGTATGGAGTTGTTGGTTTATATAATCAGTCACTGTCATTTATCAACTCATTCACTCGCTTACTCTCCTTCATTTTAATCCAACTCTCTCACACTTAGTGAATTTAATTTAGGATTTAAACAAAAGTAAAGTTATTTTTCTCTTAAGTAACATGCATTCATTTTAGATAAAATTCGATGTGAAATCAGTAGGAGAATAAGTCGAAAAGTCTCAGATATATATATATATATATCACAATTATTGTAAGAAAATTGTCTCTTTTCGTAAAATTCAATTTTTCTCTTGCTCTAACCTTGACAAAAATGAACTGAGAATTTCTAAAGAGAATGTTAATTATCAATGAAAAATAAAAAACCCCGTTATTAATAAAATGGATGGATGTAATTGTGAATCGTCACGCAATAACTATTGCTCTATTGATAGAGTGTATCTGTCACGTGAACTGCAAGAGTATGTCAACATTACCATCTATTTCCGTTTTTGTTCAATTTCACCATGAGTATCTTCGTTGATCCTATTGCTAGGAATATTTATGTTTGATGCGATACTTCAAGGAAAATGCATAACCCTATTATGAGCCACCTTGAGTGACAATAAAAATATGGTGAGGATTCACTTTCTCCTTACTTCGTAGAAGATATCGCGTCAAGATTGGTCTTAGGAGTTTCACCAGCCTCGATGAGTCAGTATCTAGAAAATTCTTGGTAAAGATTCAGAAAGCTCACTTGACCATTGTCAACCTGTGTCATTTTTGACGTACCAACTAAAAGACCAATACTAGATAGCAAATTTACTTTGTATTACTGTGTGACTTTGATATAAGGTCTATGAAAGTAGAAGACATGTGTAGGTTGAAGATTTCTGGTCAAATATATCCCTTCAAAATATTACGCCTGTGAAATGACCGATTAGCACTGATAAGTTTAAACAGGGGGTACTTGGCAAAGGTTTCAAGTTGTCAATGAGATAGTAATTTTTCAATGACTGAAGTGATTGTGACATCTGTTGCTCATATCTGACCATCGCCTTTCTCGTCGAGCGATGCTTGCTAGTGTAGGCCAAACTAAAACGTGACACCGGTCCACGAAATCCCTTAATAGTGTTCTGAGTCATGTAGATACATAAAGACTACCTAGTTAGAGCCCTCGTGATATCCACAATCAGTGGTTGAAGACGTTTGGTGGTACTGCACAAATAGATTGCAATACCGTAAACGAATTTACGCTATATCTTCTTGTATGTCTTGCGTCCCAGCACTCATTCATTACATAATTTTCAACTCTACATTTGGAACCATATTCTGAATACATAATCTTATTATTATAGCTACTGTATTATTTTGATTCCTTGGCTATATATCTTATTACTTTCATCTCGTTGTGCTAATATGATATGACATTTTCCGTTACCACATATTTCTCCTAGGCTGTACCTTCATTATGATTAGTTATTTCATTCAGCCGTTCAATCAGATAGATGTAAAATGAGAAGCAAAGTGGAGGAGAGTGAGCCAACTTACTGCAATGAGACATGACTAAGTATTCACCGTTGGATAAAAATAGGATAGACATGTCACAAGCGATGCATATACGTACTCAAGTAAAAACAACCAAAGCATAAGCGAATAATCGACAAGGTCAAAATGTGTACGAACACTAGGTCGGGCAGAAGATGTTGAATAGTTTTTTTAAAAGCTAGAATAATCCATGTAGTCTCAACATATTGGTACACACTGCAAGTTTACTAGTAATATTTCGGACTATGAAACGTGATAACCTGTTTCGAATATACCAAGGACCGTCAATTTCCTCTATTCTACTGCTACTCTATACTGGACTAGTGTTAAGTTGTTCAGAATTCCCTAGATCAAGTACTGTTTCTTACTAACCACTTCCAACCATCTAGTAAAAAACATTTCATTTCATTTTTTAACTTATTTTTTCATTGTATGCTCTACAATTTATCATTATTCTCTTCTACATTCTTTTTCCTATCATTCACAGTCGTCTGTTGATGATCTGTGTGAATCGAATCCTCATACATTAGATACTACTAATAATAATAATAATACTACTAAATCGTCGAATACTACTACTACTACTACTACTACTTCATGGAATCAATTGAAAGAACAATTAGCTGAAATTGTTCAAACTGCATTTGTTTATTTAGCTGATCTTTGTGTACTTCGATTAGATTTAATTGCAATACCACAATTATTGTTGTATTTAACTAAATGTGTACAAATTTTATCAGATAATCATAATCGTATGAATGGCTGTGACATATTATCCAAAGATACATGTGACTTGTCATCGCCTAATCAACAGCAACAACAACAACAACAACTGGATTCTACTAGTGATAATACTGTTCAAATGAATAAAACACCGATTACTGCGAGTGATCATTGTTTTGAAAAGCAACAACAATATACGGAAATGTTCAATAGTAAAGTGAGTTTTGTTTTTGAAAAAAAAGTTAGTCAGTCTATTCTCATGAATGATATATATATATATATATATATATATATATATATATATATATTGTATTATTGCGATATTATAGAGACAAAGAGAACACTAAATAACACAACTACGGATTACATAATTTCACCCAGATTTTTGTTTTTTGTTTTTTTTCTTTCGAAAAATTCTGGTTCTCGTTTTACTTTATCAACACTAATATTATAGTAATCGATTAGTTGCTCAATTGATCGTTTATTTAATTTTTTCGCTAATTTGACTTTCTAAATCATAGTGACATTTTATGAGATAGTATGATGTTTTTCAATGCATATACACACATATATATATAATGTAACATGATGATGGAAATTGCAATGCATCATTTCAGTTTCTTATTCTCTTTCATAAACTGATGCAAATGGTCGATACTTTTATTACTGCTCCTAATGATCATTGATTGAGGCAGCTTGGAATGAAATCCAAAAAGCTTTGGAAATAACAGTGATATCTGCTAAGATGTTAATCCTAAAAGTTAGACTCTGAACACGAGGAAGAGCGGAGACAATTTAAACATAGGTTGATAAAATGCCTATGTACTGATCGCGAACAATGGTAGGTAGCGAAAGCAAAGATGAAAAAGACAGTGACGATAAGTGACAGTAGATAATCATTCAAGCTTATCAAGGAAACTGGTATATTAAAAATCTGACTGTGAGTGAAATTCATAAAAAGCCGAGATTGTTATGCTCTAGCATTGAGTTTATAATTCAACCAACTGAACACTGACTAGTAGCCTATGTTTCATTTCACCAAACTGTATTTGTATAATAATATTATTACAGTTCTTGATTTCTTCTGAACAACTAGAAAAACTTCTTAATTTATATATGATGATGAGTTTAAAAATTTCATTTCTCAATTTCATCATTGCACATGTGCATATTTATTTGTGTGTGTGTGTGTGTGCATAAGTAATCATTTAAGTCAATTCATCGCGACTACGTTTACATTCTCTCTCTCTTTGTCTCTTCGAAATCACAACGCACACGTATACAACGTAGTTACACTTGTGTAGGCCCATACAAATGAACATAGTTCTTGGTGGATGTTGTTTCTCTCCAAGTCTATTCACTTAAAGCAGTTAGTATGCAAATGTTCCAATCACACACACTCACTTCTTTGTTTTCTTCACTTTAAAGAACTTTACTCTCTCTCTCTCTCTCCCTCTTTCAATTATTATCATGAAAATTAACATTTTCTAATGGTATCATCTTAATTTTATGTATACATGTGAATGGAAATAATCATTTTATTAATAGTGTTTCATAAAGCTTAAATTTGCTCAAAAAAAAATTTTCGCTCAATTTTATGCATGATTTTGTTAAAAGTAACATAATGGCCAGAAATTATGTGATATTGAATTGTCGGCTGTAGCTGTGCTACCTTGATATGATGGTTGTCAGGCTTGGATATGTGATGACCTCATCGAGCTATACCGACTGGAAGACTTGTCACTTTAGTCTGTAACACCATACCAGATTAGTTTCTTTGGAAAGCAGTAAGACTGAAGTTGTACTGTGAACTATACTGGAGTGAAACAGTGGCGATGTTAACTTCTCACAACTAGAAAAGGTGGTTATAAATATTTCACCCCTAAAAATAGTATACCTCAGCTTGCCGCATAGATTTCTTTCGCTAACGCTAAAGAATCGTAGCTGATACATCTAGACTACCTATGTATGAGATACTTGATGTGTATACCGTATAGAAGTTTTGTTTACAATGGTCTTCACATAATGACTTCTAGTAATTGTTACTTTTTAAAATCTACTCAATTCTATCGAGAATCGATATCTAGATTATGATGAGCTTACCCTTACATCACCGCGATGTGATTCGTTAGCATAACCTATCCCAGTTCGCAAAGAATTCCTATATAAAACTTCCTAAAGATCACCTAACTCAATGATTTTATTGGCGAATTATGATATAACCCCATTGATGTTATTGCTATAAAGAAGAACTATGAAAAGAAATTGATTGGAGACAGTCAAATCGCTTCATAGTCATGAATAAATCAAACCGATATGTGATTTATCGAATGTTGATGATAAATTTCAAATGACGTCAGCATCAATAGATACTTTAAGTGAAGATTGAGATAAATATTTAGGGGTTCAGATAAAAGATCTGATTTTCAAAGGTCGTTTAACGCAAACTAGAAGTACAATCTGTTTGATTGTGTATGCACACAAATTTTCACTCTCGTATTTATTCATACTATTCTGTGTAGTCCATCTGCTTTTGTTGGTGCCCTATGATTTAATGATGTGACTCATTGCTTTTAAACTTATTTCAGGATAATGTGACATTGAAAATACTCAGTGAAATATTACATTGTCTTCATGCATCTTATGTGAATCCAGCTTTCATTGTTCAATTATTTGCACATTTATTACATCGTTTAAATGCACGATTATTCAACTTTATCATTGGTTATGATTATGAAACGAAACAATCAATTAAAAATGCCACTCATATTTCACCTAACTGGGGTAAATGTTTACATGATTGGATTCATTTATGCTTAAATGATTGGGCTAGTACACATGGATTAAGTTTAGCTATGGAATGTTATTTACAAAGAATAATTCAGGTTAGTGAAAACTATTATTGTTCTTTTGCTAATATATATATATATATATATATATATATATATATATATATATATATCACAGAGTGATCACATTCCGACATATCATATCGTAACTAAAGAACATTAGATATATGTTTCTTTTTAGTATCTTGGACTAACAGTGTATATCCACAACTCCATCAAGGATCGAATTTACGATCCTTAAAACCTGGTGGCGAATGCCTAATCATGAGAATCATTGAATTCACCTCCAACAATACAATCCCATAATCACTTAATTGAAATAACTCTGTCGCGTCTACCATGTACCGAATAGAATTTTAAGCATGAAATTGATAAATAAAGATTTGCATTCTGAGGAGTCCCATACCAGGGCGAAACGGCCGTCCAGTGCTTCCAGGTTTCTAATGGTGGTCTAACATTGATCGATTCATGGCCTCAAAAAAAATAAAGATTTATCAAGTGCTTGTATGTAAGAGTAAAATGTTTGGTATTTCTCTAAAAAAAACATTCCTTATTACCTTTTACTTACTATAAACTATTACTAATTTATCTGTCTATCTGATCAGATTTTTAATGCCTTCTTTCTATTTCAAGGCTGCTGATCTAATGCTATGTGATATGAAATCAGTTGAAAGTTTGTATAATCTAACTGTGGATCTAGTCAGTTTGAATTCACGTCAAGTTCAAATTATCTTGGAAAATTACCAGTTAATGAATACAGATAATAAAATCACGGAATCGACTCACAATAATCAATCGCCTGACATGACAACATCAGCAAAATGTAATTTACAACAACAAATTCCCGAAGCTTGGATTGAATTTGTTGTTTCAGGTGTAAAAATGGTTAGTTTGTTGTTGTCGTGTGTGTATATGTGTAATTATTTTCGATTGATTTTCTTCATTATTGTAAATCATGAATCAATCATTCAATAATAAACAACAATCTCCATAACTCTATACTGAATAGTTTTCGTTAGACTCCTGCGCCCCGCAGGATTCGAACCTGGGACCTTCGGTATTGTGCGCGAACGCCTAACTATCGGTATCTAACGGTGTTAATGTCTAACTTGATCAATTCACGGAGTTGCGCATTGATCGATTCATCGTTTCAAAAATGTGAGACATGTATTTCGCTGTTAAATGGTTGGAGATACTCAACAGGTAGTATTGGTGTCAGCCTTGGTTTTTGTGCTATTTTCCACTGATTGGCAAGATGTTCCTGTAGTCTTAGTAGGGATGAGTGCTCTCTGATGGATACAGTCTGGCAACTTCATAGCCTGAAGTATTACCTCCTGCAGCATTGAGATATTTGAAGTTGATTAATCAATATATAGTCTTTTTTAATGTTGATCGAATCATACACAGATCAAGTTTTATTGTGGCTACTACCATCTCGTGCACTATGTTCAAATATAAAGTGTTTAAATTCTATCCCGGTCATTATGAATTGTTCATTTTGTACTTTTCATTAGACTAAGCATTGAGCAGATTGGTTATCATGCCCAAAACAATGATAAAATAACTGAGTGCTGACGTCTCAGATAGTGAAACTGAGAAGTTATAATCCAGCTTGAAAAATCGTCTGTTCAGTCATTTCCATTTACTTAAGCTGCCTAACAGTAGTAATGATAATTTATCTGCTAAATCCGGTAGTCTTATAGTAAAACAAAATGATGTCGAATAATCCTATTTTTAAAAATAAAAGTGTTATCATTTCATAAATTGTTTACAGAAACCCACATATTGAAAGTGACGCAATAATCCAACTACTTTTAAAGTAACAATAACTATTGATATGATAGATATTAAGAATCGAATAACAAAACATTTTCAGTCAGTCAGTCAATCAATCAACAACATAGAACTTCGTACGTATGTACATCAGTTCAAGTTGTCATACACATTAGCACAGAGATGCAATTGTCAATTCAAATCCCATAGTAGTAGAGGTAGTAGAAGTATTAGCAGTAATCGGAAATTACAGGGTTCGACGATATTATTCAAGAAGTAGAATCTAGTGAAATAAACTTAAAAAGAAAAAAGATAAAGGTGATGAAGAACTCTGAAGGTTAAGCTTTGAGAGAGCACAAAGAATAAATGCACCTGTGCCATTGCAAACGATTTTGAGCCATGTCATTCAAGATCTCCAACCATCGATTACTATCATCTCGCGGGCCCCAACCAGGTAGTTGACACCAACCAACATAACTCAGTCCAGTCAGTAACTTCATGGATTTGTGCAATGTTTTGGCTTGGCCGCCCCTGATTTTCTTCCAACCTATTCCTACATCTCGAAACATCGCTCGACGAGGTAGTCGGTAACTAATAACTGATAATAACTAATTAATAGTTTTGAAAAAAATAATTGAAAATGAGTAATAGAAAAAACGATAGATTATAGAAGATATAAAGTGAGTTTTATTCATTCCTATTTAAACCAAACGGTACTGGGTTTGAGTCCCGCCTAGTGAACATCACCTCTGGCCTACAGATACATCCAGCTGAGGAGTCTAGAGTAAGACGAAACATGCATTCTGCATTCCACCGCTAGCCACCACCCATCTATGCTAATATAATCTATCGAGATTGGTTTGATATTAAACTTAATTCAAATCATGTTAAACCAAATGACTACACAAAAATATTTCCTATCTATTAGGTTGCAGATCGTATTCTAACTGAGGAGAATGCATGCCCTCTAACAACAACAACAACAATGAATGATGACGATGAAGAATTCAATGAAACACCAGAAAACACTACCAAATCATCGTTGTCATCATCATCAAAACAATTGGAACTTGGTGAATCATTGGATCTTCATCTGCCATTTTTATTACCTGAAGATTGTTATCCATCGGATAATCCTGTACCGATTAACCATAATAGTAATAACAATACTGATAGTAATAATAATAATAATCATAACGAATCAATGATCAGTTATGAAGAAGACAGTGGTATTTATAGTCAAAGTAATTCGATCAATTTAAAACATTCATCATTATCATCATCATCTAATGACCAATTGAATACATCCATTATCACAATTGATTCAATGAAACAATTTTTAAATCCTGCTATTCAATATGGTTGGTGTCGTTTATCAATACGATCTAGTAATTATGCCATTGACAATGCAATAATATTAAATAAAAAATTGACTTCCAATCAAAATTTACAACAATCATCCTTACAATGGAATGTTTATTTATTAATGAATACAAAATTATCTGTTAATTCTTATTCTGATAATGATAATAATAATAATAATGTGGATGATGTTGATGTTAACAAAGTTAATGAACATTTAACAATAGTTTCAAAGAAGTCCAATGTTGAAGAAGAAGAAGAAAAAGATATCAAGGGTGAAATGAAAAAATCGGTAAATAATTCTTATTTATTATTGTTAATGTAATGTTATCTTTTTGTTTCTAGTTTTAGATAGACTGATACAACGCAGACCTTTGTACGTACGTACGTACATCAGTTCAGGTTGCCATACCACATTAGCACACAGACGCAACTGTCAGTTGAAATCCAATAGTAGTAGCGATAGTAGAAGTATTAGCAGTAATGAAGATTAGGGTTTGAAGATATGGTTCGAGAAGTATAAATTCAGTGAGACAACTTTAGAAAGAGAAATGGAAAGGTGATAAGGGATTCAGAAGGTTAGAATTTAAGAAAAGACAATTGGTGGATTCACATGCGCTTTCGCGAACGATTTCGAGGCATGTCGTTCAAGGTCTCTAATCATTGGTGACTTACGTCTCGCGGACCCCAACCAGGTAGCCTACATCTACCAACATGACTCAGTCCACTTGTCAGTGTTTCTAGTTTCTGTAAATAGTGAATTATATCAACTATGCAGTACATTCTAATGAATGAATGAATGATAGAATAGGCTTACAACTTTGATGGGCGTCTTTTCGTTTGATAATCTATATTGTCTTCGGGTTAGATAATTTAATTTGTCCCGACTAATATTGTCAAAAAATATTTCATTTGATAGCCATCTATAGAAATATATATATATATATATATATATATATATATATATATATACATAGATATAATGTGTGAAGCTTCATACTCTGAATAATCAATCATCTGCTTGAATGATTCATGAAAGTTTTTACCTCGATCAGTAGTTATATTCTCTTATTTATTGACCGACTTTTCATTTTTACACATTGAAGCTATATTTTTGATTGAATGGTTTAGTTTATTTTATGAATTAATGTTAGCCGGAGAGAATCATTGAAAACAACAGAGAGCTCACCTGACCATAACTGTTTCACCCCCCCCCCATTTTGAGCCTCCTTGGTAGTACACAGTCACACTGGGATAAAATGCCTAAACTTTTCATATCCTGTAACAAGCAACTAACTATGGTTTATTGTGTTCTTCTTCATCCTAGTATCATTAGTGCGTTATTGTCTTCATTGGACTCCACATCCATATACCATTTCAGATAGTCCCTTTCATTGCTATTCATCATTACAAAATCTCATGCTGATTTAAAACAGTTCTAAAGTTAGTGTTACTTCAACTTAATTATAGCTTGATCCAACACACTGATTTAACCTAGTGAACCAGTGCATACACTAATTGTTATCAAATATGTCCCTATAAGGTTATGGAAAATTGATGTCATATACCTATCAATATTAGAGCACCATTGAGAAACCTGGAAGCTCTGAAAAGCCTTTTCGTCCTAGTATGGCATTCCTCAGCAGTACACATCCACAACCCCGCAAACGGGAACCGAACCAAAAAATTTTCGGTCTTGCATGCGAATCAAATTGATTTCACATTCTACAACAGTCAAGTTCATTATCTTAGAAATCAATCAACTTGATAGTTAAGTACACTTGACTTTTAATTTGATTAAAGTCATTTTGATTTATCTTCTAATATTTGAACATATAAAGATATAAATAATTTAATTATTGATGTATTAATGAACCATGACAATTTCTGATCACGTCTGTCACCTATCACACATGTCTACTTGTTAAGGTGTATTCACTTGTTCAACTCAATTATCAGTGACAACCAATTAGAATTGTTTGATTCATTAATTTTTTATCCTTTATCGTACTTGAACACACTGAACACGATATACGCTGAATATATTTCTCCAAGGTCAATTTATTATTCATTTAATTGCTGCATCATTCCCATTGTATACAACTTATGACAATCAATCAGCTTGAAATTACACTCGAAATGTGAGGTCTAGTGATTACTGATCACTTATTGAAACAGGAATAGATAGGAGCGAGGTTGAAACGTAGGATTTATTGACTACTGAAAATTAAATGCTTTAACTATTGAGCCATTACTGATTACTTTAGATATATTTAGTAATAATATATTCATCACTAATTGTTTACTGTCCCAATTTAGCGTTCATGTTTCAATAGCTCTAATGTTTTTTTTGTGTGTTTCCTTGTTCTCATTTTGTTTTTGTATTCTTTGAATAGGCTGAAAATGTTACATCCTACTCAACTACCACTAATAACAACAATAATAATAATGCATCAGTTAAAACTCATTCCCTGCAATCATTACCATTTAATCGATCATGCAGTCGACATTGTACTTATTCAGTTGTTGTACCTAAAATTGGTTCAAGTTTAGGTCTTAGTATTGTTGCTGCTAGAGTAAGTTATTTATCTATTATCATTATTATTATTATTACCATTATTCATAGTAGTAGTAGTAGTAGTAGTAGTAGTAGTAATAATGATATGATCAGTATGTTTATTGTATAAAATTGTTTTGTATTGGGATTTACTGAATAAAGCGTATTCACATACTAATATTTGTCATTATATAGTACTACGTCTACTCGGTAATTGTTTCTTTTTTTTGTAATCTTCAGCAAAAGTAAAATGTTGTTGGCCTTAAACATGTTGATCTATAACTGGTTAATCATCGAGTAGTGACCACTGTCGTGTTTGCTTGATCAAGTTGTCACCTTGCCGACCCATTCGACTTCAATTTCATGCTAGTTGGCATTCGTTATCAATAAATACGTGAAGGAATGGACACTTCCAGAATGGGTCGTAACCCATGCTACCCAACTTTACAGTCTAAGATGTTACCATTTAGGTATTCAAACCTCGAATGACCTTCTCTAGAACTGAGATGTATTTACAATTGATCATTCCATTGAGTAATGAGCAACGACATGTTCTTGTAGTCTTTTCATATACTTTAAAATTTATTTGTATTTATGATAATACGTTTTGCTTAATTTATACACTCCTCTTTTATCTATCGTCTGATAAAATAAGACTCACATTTATAGGCATATAAGGTTGGACCACACTGCTCACTAGTGACTAGTTTCGTGAAGAGATTCTCAGAGATCTGGTGAGAAGCTGTGACCAGTGCAGTTCGACACTGTCAGGTATATAAAGTTACCAACCTTAGGCAACAGGCAAGATGGCGCAATAAATTAGGTTGATTGAAGTGGTCTAAAGGTTAAGCGTTCGAGCTCAAGACCTAAGGTCCTGGGTTTATTTCCTGCGAGCGGGGGTCATGGATGCGCATCGCTAATGAGTCCCAAACTAGGACGAAACGGTTTACAAGTGCCTTTAGGTTTCCAATGGTGGTCTAACATTGATTGATTCATAATTTCAATCTTCACCACTCTATAATAAAAGTATTTAGTTTTTAATTAGAATAGTTCCGATAGTATTTATGTTAGCACTTATTAAGGGATATTTATAGAGATTAGGTGTGGATGTCTCATGCTAGAACAAAACCATCGTCCTGGTCTTTTAGATTTTCAATGGTGATCTATCTAGCATTAGTTTGTTTTGATATAAATTATGAAAATGACAAATCGCTTATTCACTGCACCCTAAACTAAAACTTTCCACTTTTATAAACTGATCTATTACTAAACAATTGAAAAATACCAATAACATGAAGTAGTGACCTCAATCAATTGACGCATACAAATAATCTTCTACTATTCAGTGCCCCTCCTCAATTATTTTTGACCTAACCTTGAACTGTTGTTGAGGACAGAGACTAGTTTGTGATTACTAAATAATCTATTATGTACAGTTATTCTTTTTGATAATTAATAATCATATTGAAATATTTGGAAATTATAGTGAATTGCATGCAGAATAAATGTCAAAGTTATGTAAATACACAACAAAATTATTGTATTGCAATAATGAATAATACAACCTTTCAAAAACTAGTCGAATACTAAACTGAATTATTATTATTATAATCATGACATACTTGCTTACTTATTCCTGTTACCCCTAATAGAGCATAGGTCTCCAACCAGCATTCTTTAATCTACTCTCTCCTGTGCCTTCCTGCCCAGTTCTACCCAATTGTTGTTCATGCTTTTCATGTGATGTGTTCTTTGGTCTTCCTCTTCTCCTTTGGCCGTGAAGTCTCCAAGTGACTACAAAAATTGGATGCTTTCCTCAATGTGTGTCCTGTCCCCCTCCAGCGTTTCACCCAAAATTCTTCCTCTGCTGAAATTTGCTTTGTTTTATCCCACAATAGGTTGTTGCGGATGATGTCTTACCAACAGATCCTCAGTATCTTGCGTAGACAAGTGTTAATAAACTATTGTATTTTATGGACGATAGCTTTCGTGGTTCTCCAAGTTTTCAATCCATACAATAGAACTGTCTTGACGTTTGTATTGAAAATTCTAACTTTAGTGTTTGTCGATAGTTGCTTATTACTATTATTATTATGATATTAAATTGACTAATGTTATTAATCTTGACCAAAGCTCCGTCTAAAATGAATTGTAATATTTGCCCATTTTTAGTCAGCTTATAACAACACTTATACAATCCCTTTTAATTCAGTCAAATTCAATTAACAAAAATAAAGATCTAAAATTATGATTTTAACTCTTATTATTATTTGTGCGCTTTCTAGTCAGAATATGGTGAAGATCTTGGCATATATGTACGTGGAATTAATCCAGGAAGTGGTGCTAGTCAAGCAAAACTAATACAATTCAATAATAATAATAATAATAATAATAATAATAATAATAATAATAATAGTGCTAATGAAATGAATTCATTACAAACAAATGATAATTGTTTGCTTATTCCACCATATTTACAAATTGGTGATAGAATTATTTCAGTGAATGATCAATTAATTACTGGATTATCACAAGATGCTGCAATACAGTTAATTTCATCTGCTACACATGAAGTGATATTCACTGTGATACGTTATGCTAAACAAGATATGAAGGAGATGAAGGCGACAAAGGAGAAGAATAAAGAGGATACATCCTTAACAACAACATCATCATTGAGACAGCTATTAACACAGTTAACTACTTCCACAGTTGATTTGAACAATAAAGAATTCAATGTCCAATGTATTGATTGTCTTTTACATGAATCTTTGTTATCGAATTATCAAGATTTTATAAAAGCTGATGATCATAATGATGATGTCGAACAACAGTTCAATGTCTCTAATGAGGTGATTTTCTCTATTTTGCATAAGAGTTGTGGAGATTGTTGAGTTACTTTATTGAAATTATGAATCGATCAATGTTAGACCACCATTAGAAACCTGGAAGCACTAGATGACCGTTTCGTCCTGCTGTAGAACACATCAGCAATGCACATCCACGGCTCCTGCTAATCGCAGGATTTGAGCCCAGGGTCTTCAGTTTTGCGCGCAAACGCCTAACCTCTGAACCACTGAGCCGGTATCTGACGGTGTTACTGTCTGACTTCGATCAATACACGGTCTTGTTTAACTTCATCCACTGTCTTCACACCCGAACGGAGCTGAACTCCACTGGTCATGGCTTCTCACTAGAACTCGGAGAAACTTCCTCACGGAACTAGTCACTAGTGGGCATATGATAATTTGGATGAGAGGGTTATGGTGTCGAGCATTGCTCACCGAAGACAGTGAATGAGGTTGCACAAGACCGTGAATTGATCGAAGTTAGATATTTTCTCTAATTTCCCTTGATTATCTTCAACGTATAACCGCCTGCCACCCACCTCGAGCTGCGATATTTTCCGTTATAGGAATAAGTTGGAAGAAAATATTAGTTGGAGAATCATTGAGAACAGTAAGGAAACTCTGAGGATATCTTATCTATGCTTCTTTAGGACACTTCTGTTTTGCCTACCCTACCAGCAGTCGAATCGTAAACACTGAAACTTCATTGTGTACATGATACCTTTATCCATGTTAGAATTAAACACAGGGAGAAAATGATTTCCACTTGTTCTACTAATTTCAGCTCTTTTTTCTTAGTTTAGAACACCTATTCAATTGAAATCTACTACTATTCCGTATATTTGTAACTATAGTCTATTGTCAAATTTATCACCCGACCGTAGCTGCTACCTTGACGTGGTGGTCGGGCTTGCCTATCGTGATGACCCAACCGAGCTATGTCGGCTGGAACATATATTCCTGAAGGTTCTACCATGCCAGGCAGGTCGATTGGAGAACGATGAGACCTCACGGATTTCCGTCTCTGGCGGCAAGGGTGCCCACTAAGGACGGAGCTAATACTCAAAAAGCCTTTCATGAAAAGGCCGTGCGTGACCGGCCTCAAGCAGTTGTCCCTTGGACTCTACGGTCACGCTCCCGTGTCTCTAAGACCATCTTTAATCTATCTTCCTTTTCAGGCCCCTCAAGAAACAACCTTCCACGGTGTGGGCACCTGGGAAGTGACAACCGCCCTCATACCCGTTACAGCATACCCCCGTCAAATTTATCACACTATTGATGACTCTGAATATTATCAACTAATTTGGCTTGAATTAACTTCATCAGTCATAGTTTCACATTGTAAAACATCTACAATGTCATTTCTTAATGTTAATCGCATTATTACTGATACTTCTACTACCTGTACTAACGGGGAATTTTTGAATTGACAATTCCACCACTCTCTGCTAAAGCAACATGGCAACTTGAATTGATCCACGTCCGTTATACATTGTAACTGCTTCATTGAATGTGGAATCACTAGTGAATCAAGTCCAATTCCAATGAATTATTAAGCAATATATAATCCTTTTTTTCCGTTATAATAAAATTTCTCATGTATACTTTATTATTATTGCTATTTAGAAATCAACGCAAAAACCACTCACACAATCAATAAACAATGGGAATTCAAGTGTTTCACGCTTAAAACACTTCCAATTACCAACAACATCATATCATACTGGTGCTACTTCGCCTTCTTCGTCTTTTTCTTCGCATATTCCTTCCGATGTTCATATTGATATGAAATTAACCATTGACACAAATGATGTGAATAATCAATCCAACATGAGACATTCAGATTTAAACAAAACATGGAATTATCCAAGTAATACCATTTGTCGAATTAATAATATTCATGATAAAAATTCAGTTGGTTTAACTAATCTACCAAATACTTATAATTCATTGTATAGAAATCGTTCAGCATCGAGTAAGTGAGATTTGTTTTGTGTATACATGTATGTTGTTTTGTAGTGTAGGAATAGGTTGGAAGAAAGTTAGGGGCGGCCAGACCGAAACATGGCAGAAATCCATGAAGTCATTGACTAGTGGACTGAGCCATGTCGGTAATTGTCGACTACCTGGTTGGGGTCCGCGAGATGATAATAATCGATGGTTAGAGACCTTGAATGACATGGCTCAAAATCGTTCGCAATGGCGCTGGTGCATTTATTCTCTGTGTTCTCTCAAATCCTAATCTTCTGGATTCTTCAACCCCTCTAGTTTCGACTCTCTAGACTTTTCTCACTGAATCATACTTCTTGAATAGTATCTTCTAATCCTAACCTCTCCGATTACTTCTAATTTCCTTACTACCTCTTCTACTATTGAATTTGAATTGACGATTACTTCTCTGTGCTGATGTGGTATGGCAACATGAACTGATGTACTTATTTACAAAGTTCTACGTTGCATCTGACTGACTGACTGACATGTATGTGTGCATGTGCCGTGTTGTATTCCTTCATTTTTAGTTATTTTTTGTTTAAATTAAAGTCAATTATTTTCCTGACTTGTTATTTATGAAAGTGAAAACAATGCATTCGATTAATAAGAAGTATAACTATAAGATTTGAATGCAGCTGTACGATTTTAAATGAAATTCAACTGTCAACAACCATTGATTTATTGTATAATTGCAATGAATCTCAACCACATAGTTTACACTTGAACAAAATAGAATTTTATTTTTAAGAGTTAATTATTTTCATAGATTGATGTTCACAAGTACAAGTTTGTGTAGTCAGCTTTAAGCTGTACATTTCGTATGTATCTATTACTGTTGAGGACGTTAAATCCCCGGAACTCATTTGGACAAGGTCCTAATTTTGTAATTTTATTTTGGACTTTTGAATTTCGCGTCAAAGACGCTCACTTTGACTTTTGGCTTGCATTTACCACTCTGGAATGCTTGACTCTCATTGGCTGATGGATTATTTTAGTACGCCACTTTGTGGCTCTTACCAAGGGCGTTTCATCATTGCATAAATAAGCTTGAGTTGTGTGCTTGTTGACTTTGTACTTTCCGGATGCTTGTAGACAACACTTTTCTACACCTTATCAAGACTTCTTGATATATAGTTAGCCCGGCCGGGGACAACGGATCAGAATAGCCTATCGTGTCACTGTATCATTGATCTTCGTTCCGCTTACCGAATAAGGTGAACTCGTAATAGCTCAAGCATATCAATTACACAAAGAGAACTGGTTACATTAACTGATTGCGTGAAACTTGTGTCCTGACAATTAAAACCATCATTCTAATTTCTTTCCTATTGATCATTGAAGTTCATTGATCAAACTTTTTTTCCCTAATAAATATCTAAATAATTGTTTTACTACTGATAATATACCTATTATACACATTCATTTTATTGCTGAAAATTTGTCTTTCAAGTTAATTTTCTAACAATCAAAAAAAAAAAAGGTAATCGGTCCATTATAAGGATTATTGATTAACAAAATATTTTATTCACATCTTTTAGTTTGAATGTTTCTTTTATAGAACAATTCAGTCAATTTAGAAATGTACAATCGTCATTAAGTATAATTTAGTGTTATTTTTTCATTAAACACAATAATTATAAACATAAATAACTCTCTACATAGAATCGACGTGAAAACGATTTTTCTTTCAACAATTTCCCACACGAATTACCTTGGTTCGTAAATTTTGAGGACTTTTACAACCTACTTTCTACACATTTGAAATCATCGATAAATCATTGTTAGATCACCATTAGAAACCTGGAAGCACTGGACGGCCGTTTCGTCCTAGTATAGGACTCATCAGCAGTGCGCATCCAAGACTTCTTCACCTCACAGGATTCGAACCCGGGACCTTCGGTCTTGCGCACGAACACCTAACCTCAGGTTTCTAATGGTGGTCTAACAATGATTGATTGATGATTTCAATGTGTAAAAACATTAATTGAAAAACTGCTTTCTGTAATCTAGGATTTTGTAGAGATTACAGAAACTTCCCTAGTTTTTCAGTCATAAACTAATCTTAGTTAGATCATAATCGTCCTAATATATGCCAACTCTTTAACAATGCCCATTCATCACCCTGCATCCTAGCAAATCAAATCCTTTGAATTTTTGAGTTTCATGCACCACTCTTGTATTGCATTCTTTCTCCAATTTAAATATATATATATATATATATATATATATATATATATATATATATATATTTACTCTACATTTATAATAATAATAATTATTATTTTTTTCAGCAAATGAACGACAATTTCGATTGTACATTGATGCAACATCAACTTATAATAGTAACAATAATATTTATGACGAACCATCGATATCGGATTATAGTTTATGCAATGAAAGTTTTCTATCAACATCTGGTATAGAGAAATTATCTTCACTTCATACTACTAACACCACTACTCATCAACGTCATCATCATCATCATTATCAGAACAATAATGAATTTGAACAAACTACTTTTCCGATAACACCATGTCATCGACCTAAAGGTCAATCAATCAGTTTCGATGATCGTCTCACTGTAAGTATCATCAAGACTTTTTTTCATCTATTCCCCTGGGATAATTCTCATTGATTTCTTTTTTCAGGATGATTATTATGTAATCGACAGTGTGTGTTTATATGTGTGATCCTCCATGTTATGAGATAGTGTATTTGGTTGCAGTATTTGAATATATTCCCGATGATGTATGACAACAAGTGATCAACCTCTTGACCTCAGCAGAGAGGCCCAGATAGTTTTCATGTTTTGAAGAATATAACGATTCGCTTCAGTTGTTTTTTCGCAATTAATTGAACTGGATTCTGAAATTTCATTTTTGTTGAATATTTCTCTTCAACTAACTATTCATAAATAATTGAGAACTTGACATTATAAATAAATCCCTTTTAATTTACCATACCTCATGAGCTAGAGTTTTTCTGGCTGGTGATTTTTTTTAGCAAGTTACTTTTCTATAGGATTGGGTTGCTAACAACCATGCCCAACCCTCCTTTTTTATCTGCGCTTGAGACTGGCAGTGACCCCAGACGGGCTCCAGATGGAGTTAAAACCGCATCCTTGGTAGGGAAAACAAGTTTCATAGATTCGAGAAAAGAGAACAAAATTTCTGGACCAAAAGTATAAACTGTGGCTGTAACATTGAAGGAACGACAAAGAGTCGATACACTGGCTCCATTGTTACGGGTTCTAAACCGTCATTTAAATATCTTCACTCCTATTAGGTCGTTCGTTACTTTTTGTGTTCATTTATCCAGTTTTACATTCTTATATATAAGATATGTATTGTGTAATCGCTGACAAGATTCTATTTCACACTAAGAAATAATAAAAGAATTTTGAATTTTGTCTTTGTTTTTGTCTCCTTTTTTTGGATACTTTTGAGTTATAACATGAAAAAAAAACTGTAAACATAAGAACATCCTATTTTCTTCTTATATTTTTTTTTGATGTAAACTTAATTTTGGAAATTACTTGAATATTTCTTTAACATGTATGTTTTTACAACATATTCAAATTGTGTAAGATAAACTAAATTATGAGATTTATGAATCTATCAATTCAAGGTTTATGTTACTTATTATCCAGTTTGCATTAAACTAAGTTTGAATCCTCTCTGTCTGATAAATAATTTCATCAGTCTCAGTTATTTGTTTAATGTTACCGAAATCCCAGAGTTATAAGTTCGATCAGAATCGATCTATGCAAAGAAGTTGAACAAAACGACTATATTGTGAAGACCCACTTAGGATGTACACATTCTAACAAAGACTAATCAAAATTCAATTCTTATTATCAACAATGTGATCATTCAAAAATCTTATGTAATAAAGATCTAAACATCATACATGTTGTGCGAATTAGTCGTTATCTTGACTCAATAGCTCAGTAGATATCTTGTTAGTGTTTGAACTGTTGGTTACAGCGTTCGAGGTGTAATATGAACATTAGAATTGGGATGCAGATGAATCCAGCCGATGAATCTCAGTCGGGATCTCACTGTCAGCTTTAACCTATCTGTTCTGAAACATTATTTGAACTTTTTTATAGTTAATCCTACAGAATTTCGAAATAATTATTCACTCACTTACTAACAAACCGTATAAATACATTGTTGTTATCATTAGTTATTATATTCCCTAATATGTATGTGTATACGTTTTATGTAGACACCTCGATTTACTCAACTTCATGAGGCTACGGCAACTAGCCCAAGAATGTCCAAGGATAATCAATCAATTCAGTAAGTTTGTTAGTAATGTCTGTTTTTTATTTGTTTACTCACTTACTTACTTGTATAATCAAAATGAACCGCACAGCATACATTTCTACCTAAGAATGCATTATTATTATTATTATTATGCTTTCTATAGAATGTAGTTATGAAATTGTGTGTAAACGCTAAGTAATAAATCATCAGCTCATGTTTTCTTTCCAACATCACTCATTAATTAAACAGGATCTTCACAACTCACACTACCGACTTTTCTTAACTAGACAACTATTAAAAACCATTGACACTGGGCACTTGTTTTCATTTAGTAGTATATAACTGATCAGCAATACGCATCCATGAACCCACCATGGGGAGTTACACCAATCTCTCTCTGTTTGCGCCCCTAACACTCAGTTACGCAGTTACTAGATCTTATTTTCATCATACACTGCAACATGACTAATAATATATATCCAACTGATAAATCTCAAGTGGAACATAGCGTTCATCGTATGCCCAACTATCATTCAGTATCCGAAAATATGTGTAGAATTGAGTTTGAGCCTGGAATCCGATCATTGAAAGTCAAGTATTTTAACCACTCACCCATTGTTATTTTTATGGGGAGTGGAGCAGTTTAGCGTTTTGACCTATTCACTTATCTCAGGAATCTCATCAGTGCTGATGGCCTGATTTGTGATGAAATCTCAGCACCCATAAAGAAGGCTCGATTGGCTTCTGCCAACTTGCGTCATTTATGACGTAGGCAAGATATTCGTCTGCTAACCAAAAGACAAGTCTACTGCGCGTCAATTTGCTCCGTCCTACTTTATGGCTGTGAAACGTGGCCAGTGAGATTTGACGATACTCGTAGGTTACTGGTATTCAATCATAGATGTCTCCGAAGTATTTCTCGTTTTTCTTGGGACTATCAAGTAAGAAATGCAGTTGTATGGCAACTTGAACTGATCTACGTGCTTACGAATTTCTACGTTGTAGCTGACTGACTGACCACTGTTATTTACTTTTATGTTTGTAATTGAACTTTCAGTAAATATACCAAAACATTAATCTTTATTCAGACACTAATAATGCCAAGTTCGCGCTGACAAGTTACTATATTCAGATATCAGTAAAAATTATTTCAAATGATCAGTTTGAATAGAAAGTCGTTTATTTTCTTTCAAATGTACGACAAATACCTTTCACACATTCGAATCATCAATCAATCATTGTTAGACTACCATTAGAAACATGAAAGCACTGGAAAGCCATTTCTTCCTAGTATAGGAGTTATCAGCAGTGCGCACTCACGACCTCCGTACGCTGGAATCGAACACAGAACTTTCGGTCTCGTGCACGAACACCTAACCTCTGAACCACATGGTCGGCATCGAACGGTAATAATGTCTAACTGTGATTCATCTAGAGATCATGTGCGACCTCACCCATTTGTCTTTGGTAGTTACTGCCTACACCGACAGGGTTGAACTCCGAGAATTTCCTCACGAAGTTAGTCACTAATGAGCACATTTTTATCATTTTTCAATTAGAGTTATGGAAATTGTGTTTGTAGACAATGAAATCCAATACCTTGTTGCTGCACTTTTGAATTTAACTTAAAAGCACAATTAGTAAACAATACAATCACGTATTCAAGACATGCCCGGTTTGTTAATTTACTATCAGTAATCAAGTTTAAATCAGCGGATAGAAGAAACATTATATTCAACAGATCTTTCACAATCGAAATCTAATTGTTTAGTAATTCAGTTATATTGGTTGTTTGAATCTTATTGTAGTGAAGGAGAACACAGGTGAGGTCAACCGAATTGTATTTAACGAAAATTACAGAGTTACTCAGTAAAATAGGAAAACCATATCGTAAACGGTTAATTTGCAAATCTTCATCAATCCATTGTCTGAAATTTCACTATTCATGCGTTTCATACAAATTCCATTGTGTTCCCACTCTTCCTTTCTTGATCTTCCCCCATCTTCTGCTGCCAGACATTACGTTTTTCACTCGCGTTATATACTACTTATAAGTAGCGCACACCACATTATCTTTGATACTTAGGATTGCGATTTATCAATCTCTGCGTTATGTGCATCCTGTACAGATTGTATCGATAATGTCATTAAGTCACGATCATTATCAGTAAAGATGGATGATGGTTAGCGGTAAGATCCAGGATTTGAGCTTCGTTCGTCCCGTTCGGGGCTCATCGGCTTTGATGTACCTACATCCCAAAAGTTGATATTTACTCTAGGAATTCGCATCCAGCACATTCAACTGACAGGTTGCATATCGGATGAAATGTGAATTCTAGCCACTTTCCATCCCTGCTATTAATTAAGGATTGTTTATGATTATTTTGAGATTTATGAAGTTTAAGGTAAACTGAATTCTGACAATAATCCAAAACAATGTCACAGTGAAACTACACAGAAATATGGAATGAATTCATTAATTTTTAAATGAAAAAAATGAATATTGCAATCATTCACTTCAGAACTTGTAAATATAAACAAATTTTTAAATAAATAATAGAATAGGTATATTGATACATTGACAAGAAATCAATGCATAATAATTAGGAAACAAATAAATGAAGCACAAGGGAAAACGGAAGGTGAGATTTTCATTAATCAAAATCTCAAGCAAAAAAATATTGATGATTATTTGAAAATGAATCGATTTAACTCTTGTTTCCGATTAATGATGATGGAGCAAGATGTAGGGAAAATAGAATTCCAATGCTCTTCTTTGAAGACTATTCAGGTTTACAAAAAAGGAGGGATGTTGTGTGTGTGATGAAACAGCGATTAATATTTGATAATTGAACATATTTGCACAAAGTTTCGAATCTAATATAAACCATAATAATAATCTGTTGTTTGCTATGATGATATTGTTGCGCTATTAAAATACGTGGCCAATAAAGTTGATTCTGACTGAATTAAGATAGACTGATGACTGTTAACATCAGCGGACGGCAGTTTCCATTACCCATTGTCAAAAATTTCAACCCCTATGTTAGGGTTTCGAATGTACTTTATTAAGGATTTGCAAACTGAGAAGAATCCTGTGCCCATGTCACTGTTTATTGTAGGTCCGTGCTGTTATTATAACCAGTGATTGGACGTTGAGTAACAATCAGATGCACTCAGTCTTTATTTCACCTCAAACCTTTAGTTTTAAAATAACGTAACACTCACTTCTGCGCTAATCCACCTTTTTTCTTGAATCATATTGTTTTTGCTGGAGAGGATTGTACCAATGCATATATGTTCCAATTTTTTTGACTGAATAAATTATGGTTTTCAGGCCCTTACGCTTTTAAAAAAACTTGACACACTACTTTTAGTTTATTCGACTGTTTCCATTATTTTTAATATTCAAGACAGACTGATTTCGGCAGTAGTGTACTTTAGCAAAGCATAACATTTCATTCACAATATCTATTCTTTACATGTACTAATGATCCCATTACCTTTCTATAATGAGTTTCCCGAAGAGTACTTTTTAATTCTCTCATATCCCTACCATTCTTTGTAAATTTCGTATCTCGCTTTTTTTCCCTTTCCACTCACACACTACTTGCTATAAGTTAGTAGTAGCATAGTGTTCATTATCAATGTCTTGCCTTGATTCTTATGTATCTCGATGTTTGTAACTTCAGTTTAAGCTTTTTCGTTAAAAGTAGTATAGTTTCGTTTGTCTTGCTTGATGATCCAGTGATAATATTCATATATTATTGATTTCATTCATAATGATCATTAATTTATTGCAATCAGTACACCACTACCTTCACGCATATTATATTCATCAAATATGTCTGACATTCGTTTCATTTGAAAGTTTAACCTCAATTTACCAACATGATGAAACAGTTCTGCATCCGTTTTAATTTTGAAATTCATAAACTATATATATTATTGACCTTGCTAACCTCTTGTTTGTTATGCTATTTCATAAAATGATATATGTGTGTGTTGTATTATAGATTAGGAATTAGAATTTTAATTTTCACTATTTTCTAGCATTCAGTACACACATAGTTGATCAATTTTTGCACTTGAAACCATTTTATGATAATATGCTTCTTTAAACTTAAACTATTAATGCATAAACACAATCTTATTCTCTCTCTCTCTTATTTTCTCTACTACTACATGTTAACCTTGTGTAACATTAGTTTACTTCTTATGATGTATTTGTCTGTATATATATATATATCCGTAGGTGGTACATATGTGTACAACAACAACAACACTTATTCTTGTCAATCATTACATACTATTTTTATTACACAATGATTATATCTTGCCAATATTATGTAAGATTACTTACTATATTGCTTAGTAGTATATTTACAAAATTTTAAATTAATGCAAAAAAATTTGATAAGAATCTATTTTCTGGCTACGTTTTGTTTGTGTGGGTTTTTCTTTTCAAACTATTATTGTTATTTATTCACTTTCTATGTTTATATTATGTTCATTGATTTGCGTGTGTGTGCGTGCGTGCGTGCGTGTTGTTGTCGTTACATTGATAAACATGATTATTCGGTATATACAGTTTGATTTGAATCATTGTTGGACAAATGATCAGTTTATTGACTCTTTGATAGTTTGGAACCTAAGTTATGCTTTTAAATAGTAAATATGCATACCCAGGAATATAAAGTTTCAGTGTTTCGGAGTTTCTTTTGGACATCAAAAAATGTCTCAAAATACCGATTGATCATGTTTTATGTTTTTCAGTATTTGGTTGTGGAAATTTTGTTGAGTTACTTTGAAATCGTGTATCGATCAATGTTAAACCATCATTAGAAATCTAGAAGCAGTGGACTGCAAGACTGTGGACCGATCAAAGTTAAACAATAACACCAATGGACGCTGGCTCAGTGGTCCATAGGTTGAGCGTTCACACCCGAGACCGAAGGTCCTGAGTTCGATCCCCGCGAATAGCAGGAGTCCTAAATGCGCACTGATGATGAGTTTCATACCAGGACGAAACGGTAGTCTAGTGCTTCCATATTTCTAATGGTGGTCTAACATGTTTTATGACATAATGTTTATCATACTAGCTTAATCATATTCATTCCTTATTTGTCTTTCCCGAAATTCCTCTCGGTAAAACTGTCTTTTGTAATCTTTTAGTATAGAGCTGAATTGATTCATTTCGAATTGTATTGTGATTTCTTTTCTTTATTTACTGCTTATTCTGTGTTCATTTCTTCTCTACCTATCTTTCTAATTAAGCTTATCCTTGATTAGTTACTAGTTCTCTGTTTCTGGGATTTATTTTGACAAGTTCATATCATTGTGCCAGTGGTGTATGACAACTTGGACCAATATGCACATGTACTGGATTCTATTCTATCCTATTCTACATTCGACTGACTGAATGCACCCAACATCAGGTTTACAATGCAGTCGCAGAACTTCAAAGCTAACACTTAGTCAATCAGTCAGTTACAACGTAGAACGTCGTAAGTACGTACATCGGCCCAGGTTGCCATACCGCATTAGCACAGAGAGAATCAAATCCAAAAGTGGTGGAGATAAACGTATTAGCAGTAATCGGAGAAATTAGGGTTCGAAGATATGATTCGGGAAGTATAATTCAGTGAGATAAATCTAGAAGGAGAAAGATGGAGATGATTAGGAATTCAGAAGGTTAGAATTAGAGAGAACACAATGAGTAGATGCACCTGCGCCATTGCCAACGATTCTGTGTCATGTCGTTCAAGGTCTCTAACCATCGGTGTCTTTTGTCTCGTGGACCACAACCAGGTAGTCTACATCTACCAACATGACTCAGTCCACTTGTCAGTGACTTTATGGATTTGTGCCATGTTTTGACTTGGCTGCCCCTAGCTTTCTTCCAACCTACTCCTATATCGCAAAACATAACTCTTCGAGGCAATCGGTGAGAAGGCATACTTAACACATATTCCAACTAACTCAACGGATGAAGTTTCATTTTGGCGACTGAGAGTGTCCCTATCTTTACGAATCCTTGCTGTCTCGTTTAATCTGACAGTGCACAAGCTAACACTTGATATGTTGATAACTATTGTCATTCAATATTCAAGAAGATTGTTCGTATTTTACCTTCTGGAACGTTTCTTTAATCCTAGTCACTACATATTACTGAAAACTGACTTTTTTTCCCCAGCGAAATCTCATTCATTCATGTTTATGATTCATCTACACTTTATGTATTTTCAAAAAGCATCCAATTGCTATCAAGCTTTCAGTACTTACTTTGCTGTTTCGTTATCAGAGTATCACTATTCAGACTGAGGCAACCAATTTCCTTTGGTTTAAATCTAACCTTATCACACATGATTTATTTTAACTTTACAATTAAAAACCTTCATATTTGATCTAAAATAACGTCGCTTGTCAACTTTTGTTTTTATAGTGTTCAATTTGTTTTAAAGTGATTGTTTCTACTTGTTTTCACACTTACTAGTCATAAAGAATCAATCTCTTCCAGACTATTGATTAATTCCAGCTCAGCTTATTCTCCGTCAACTATGTTATCTGTTCAATCGTTAGAGAATCAATCGTTTATGAGTACAACAAATCCTTCTGTTACGAATGAATTAACTTCCACTTCATATCGATCATCATCATCATCATCAACGCATCATAGATCAGATTTCGTGAATTATTCAGAGAATAATAATGATAAAAATAAAAATCATCAAGTTCATCAGTCAACACTGGATACACGATTGAATCAAAACACTTCTAATTGTGTAAGTTTATTTAAAGCATATTTGTAACGCTCTTTTTCTGTCAATGAAAGTGTAATACTGTATTGTTCCATTTTTAGTTTGTTTCTTGTGACTATATTCTGTTTTAATGTATTTCCGTTGAAGTTACTCTATTAGAGTTATGAAGATTAATGTTTCTAAACATTGAAATCATCAATCAATCATTGTTACTAGACCACCTATAGAAACCTGGAAGCACTAGAAGGCCGTTTCGTCCTGGTGTGGGACTCAGTAGCAGTGCGCATCCACGACTCTTGATGAGTAGTTACAAACCAAGACGAAACGGCCTTCTAGTGATTCCAGGTTTCTAATGATGGTCTAACAATGATTGATTGATTGACTGACTGATGATTTCAATGTGTTGAAGTTATTCTACTGAATCGTATGTGTGTGTGTGTCTGTGCGTGTAACATTAATTCATATATTTATATCTTCATAGCTGATGAAATTAAATGAAAACTACCGTATCGCATTGAACGATACGATGAACATCTTGTTGAATAATTAATTATTCAAGTTAGATAACAATTGTTTCACTGGAAGATCTGAATGAGTGAAACAGACAAATGTAGCAAATTTAAGGAATCTATCTTCGTTATCAATATTCTTCACTATCGGAGCGATTGTAACGAACAAGAAACACATTCAGTTCAACTGTCAGTAAACATTTTCTGTACAATTTTTCTTAACTACTATTGTAATATTATGATTATTGTTCTGCATTCTGTTTATTGTTTGTTTGTGAATTGTCCACTTTAAGCAATATTGACTTCTACTTTCTGCAGAACAATTCACTACCATCAACTTTAATGTTGCCACTTGTTCACATGTGTAAATGCGTTGCATCATTTGATAGAATATGTATTCTTACCACGAAGATTCACCCGTTATTCACTGCTCGCATAGTAATCAAATCTCTCTTCATAAAAATGCAAAAGTATCGTCAAAAATTTTTGATTTTTCGTTTTTCCAACTTGACCCCCTTTTTTTCTCCTCCGTAATTTTTCGTTTCTTGCAAAAAGTGAGAGAGAGAGAGAAAGTGAATGAGAGCGCGAGGGATAGATAGCTGTGTTTTTTTTTCTTCACAACTGTGACAGTTTCGTGAATAGGTCGTAGTTTCCATTAATCCGTTAGTTAGTTAGTTGGTTAATTAATCATTCATTTTCTCTACAGAAATTATTCTTATTAGGTCATGATTATTTATAGCATTTATTTTTAATTGTAGTACAGTGTAATAACCTGTTTTTTCTTTAGCGGGTGAGGGGGGGGCGCGCCGTGGCGGGCACAATAGGCCGACCTAATCCTATTTTCACGCTTCACATATTTTATTTTCCATAATTTATGTGTATATGAAAAGTTGACAAACTAAGCCAATTCTAACTACTGAATTCAAAATATCATTGATGAAGATGATGATGATGATGATAGTGGTGATTATAGTTAGTTAGTCAGTCAGTTAGTTAATTTTTCATTTTAGGTCAAATGGTTTGTTTTGTTGTTTGCATAAATTCTCTTCACTGATTTATCTTGATCAATGAATCAATGATTATACTGTCTACCTTTTATGAGAAAATTTACAGATTACCAAAATTAACTGGTTGAAAAAAGGATTCATTTTTTTCACTGAATAAAATGTTTAACTATTCCAAAAGCCTATCAAGATTTTTTTGTCCTAGGTATTAAGATTATTGGATGATGGCTAACAATAAAATCGAGGAGGCAGGTTTCATTCTTTTCGGGGCTACATCCTTGTTGCTTCAAGCAACACTATCTAGATTACACATTGTGTTGTTCAAAGTAAAAAGTACTTGAGGTGGTTGGGACATGTGTTACCCATGCACCCAACCACCGACTGCCCCAAAGAGCGATGTTTTGTGATGTCACGGTAGGTTGGAAGTAAGCAAGGGCCGGTCATACCAAAACATGGCACAAATCTATGAAATCGTTGACAACTGGACTGAGAAATATTTATAGGTGTAGACTAACTAACTGGTTGAAGTCCGCGAGGCGATAGTACCAGATGGTTAGAGACCTTGAATGATGGTACATGTGCATCCACTCTTTGTGTTTGTTTGGGACGTTTGGTAAATGCCTTATTTTAGATTGCACGTTTACGAGCATAGACTGATCAGTTGACCTTGGGACTTCATTTCCCACAAGGAAAATCCTTGAGTGTGATTGGCCACTGTGTATTTTAGTGTGCTATTTTTGTGACTGTCCCAAGGACGTTTCTATGATGTATAAATAAACGAGATTTGTGTGCTTGATTGCATTGTGCTTGCTGGGTGTTTGTAGAATATACTTTCTACGCTATATCAAGACTTTTTGCTGGTACAATTTGGTCAAGGGATCACAGTAGCCTATCTGGACGCTGGTTGATTGTCTCGTTCGCGTTTATCTACTAGGGTGAACCCGTAATAGTTTCAAGCATACCTAGTGACGAACCTAATAGTGTTCTATGAAATCCTAGTCTTCTGAATCCCTCGTGATCGTTTTTTTTCCTTTTATACATCGGTTCCTCTGCGATTTACTTCTCAAATCATATGTTAGATCTCTATTCTTTTTGATTACCGCTAATTCTTCTACCGTCTCTACTACTATGGGATTTGAATTGGCAATTCGACTTCTGTGTGCTAATGTGGTATGGCAACTTGAACTGATATATATATACATACGACGATCTACGTTGCAGCTGAATAGCTGACTAACTGAGTTGTATTACATTCAGTGGTTATTTTAAAAACTTAATTCCTGTTTGCGACTTTGTGCCAGCAATAATTTTTTGCTGAAAAAAAAAACAAAAATATCATAATTAGATTACACTGTTCAAAGAACCACTACACCTTTTAAATTCTCATCTTAAGTTACAAATATTCTTCATCATTGTGTTAGTTTTGTTATTATTATTACTAAAGTTTTATTCATTTCAATATTATTGTCTTTTTATTTTATCGAAAATGACAACTTAACAACTTAGTCATTTGTAATTGTTGTTATACATGAAACCAAGTAATTTTTTATCGAGTAAGTGCTCAATAGAGTCTTCTTTTAAATAAAAATACCATAAAGTTGTGAATCATATTGGTTCGAAGCGGATGCATCTACTCTCCTTCCCTCTCTCTTTCTCTCTCCGTAAAATTTGAATTGCCATCATCCAGTGGAAACTGTTACCATTGAACTATTCAGTTTGTTATTACTGTCTACATTACTGTAATTAATGTATTTTATTTTTAAATAGCTGACTTTATACAGATAAACTTTATTCCGCCTCTCATTGTCGGGAATATAACGTTTGTTCCATTTTTTTTTAAGTGTCAGTCAGTTACAACGTAGAACCTGGTACGTAAGTACATCAGTTCATGTTGCCATGCTACATGAGCACTGAGACGCAATAGTCAATTCAAATCCCATGGTGGTAGAGATAGTAGAAGAATTACTGCTGATGGAGAAGATCAGGATTTGAAGATCATATTCAAGAAGTATTATTCAGTGAGATAAGTCTAGAAAGAGAAAGATAAAGATGATGAGGAATTCAGAAGATTAGAATTAGAGAGAACACAATGAGTGGATGCACCTGCGCCATTGCAAACGATTTTGAGCCATGTTGTTTAAGATCTCTAACTATTGGTGACTTTCGTCTCGCGGACCCCAACCAGGTAGCCTACATCTAGCAATATGACTCAGTCCACCTGTGAGTGACTTTGTGGATTTCTGCCATGTTTTGGTTTGCCCGCCCGAGTACGTTCATGGTATACTACTAAACTATATACTCATCACATGATTCTCACTGTAAGTTCGCAAAAACAGTAGGCTTCAACCAGTTCTGTCAAGATGACTGACTACACATTAACACCGGGAATTATTCGTTAAGTTCAATAATATGAATACAATCATTGGATTCTTAAATGGATTGGTATAGATTGAAATAGACTTTTTTGACCTCAATAGATTTCCGATGTCTACTTATTCCGGTCACTCAAACAATAATCAAGTCTTTCAAGACTTTCACGACATTGCACCAATTAACTAACTAATTCATTACTGATTTGTTTCATAGAAAACCTCCTCTCTTCAAAAATATTTCAAATTTACAATTTAATGAATGTTAAAGAAAAATTCCTGTGCATAATACACTCACTACCTAACACAAAAAATTTTTTTTCATATCCTTCATAGAGATCATCTTCAGTCAGTCCTTATTACCATTCCAATCAATATTCACATCGTCATAATATCTCGACAGTTTCTTCTTCATCACCGAGTATTTCTTCAACGCCCACTCTACAATCTCCTATTCCATCAGTTCCTAGCAGTGGAAGTAAACCGCCGAAAATATTTGTTCCAACAGTAAGTGTATTACCATCAACTAGTCATCATGATCCATTACAAGGACGACTTGCAATAACCAAAGCTAAAACTTCCAAGTTAGTAATTGTTCTTTTTTTATTGTGTCTTGTTTTATTCTCTTAGTTGAGTGAGTGAGTGAGTAAGCAAGTAAGTGAATGAGTGAGTTGATGGTTATGAAGCTTTCGTTGGTGTTATAGACATCATAATCACATAGAGAAGTGCCTCGTTTCTCTCTCAATTGTATACAATGTAGGTAAATTGATTTTCCTAGAGAATATAGAATAAACTCATTACAATTTTATTTACCAAGTAAAATTAATTTCCATTAAATAAGACACCAAACTTTCTTTCGATATACTGTACTACTTAGTACCGTATCAGTAGCTTTTAATATTTTTTTGAAATAAGAGTCATTTACACACGTTTCAATATTATATTTTGAAATTGTATAAAAAATCTATCTATATGTTCTAATTAGTGGCTTCCTGTTAATTAACTCTGCATGGATGAGTATCTTTATTCATTTATATAAATTTAATGTTCGTTTTGTCACGTGATGATGTAACTCGGAGCGTTACTCCTTTGACGGTTGCGGCCGCGTAATGTTGACAACCACTGACCGACATAAAACTTAGGTCAAGGAATTCTTATTAATCATCACAGTCACTAGCGTTCGTCAATAGAGTGCATACGCACTGTCAAATCATGTAAGCAAAGTAATGAAATCCATCTCGCTTTATTGAAATCTTTCAACGTCCTCTTTTTCAGAGGGTTTTCAAATCCACATCATACAAATTCACGGCCTTCGCGATCCATGAATGATTTGATCACCAAATCATCTTCAGATATTCATCAGTCAAAAACAAATGATGTGACTTCTTCAAATACTGTGAATAAACAACCAGGATATTGTATTCGTCGAAGATATACAACATACACTACAAATCGTTTCAATGTTGGTCCAAGACCGGAACCTTTAAACAGGCCACTTGTTCGACAAAATCAATCCAACTGAATATATATACACAGGTAATATATATGTATATATGTTAATCAGAGAAAGCTTTGCATATACTTATATTAGGCAAATGTCCTATTGTTATTATCATTATTGTTATACTAATTTATCACGAATGCACGTAAACACGTCATTTTGATATGCTTGAACTATTATGAGTTTACCTTAGTCGGAAAACGAGAGCGAGGATTGATCCGGCGACACGACATGCTACTCTAATCCGATTGTCCCAACCCACATTGAATAAACGAAGACTTGATATGAAATAGAACATGTATTCTACAAGCATCCAGAAAGTACGAGGTCCGAGTCCAGAAGAGAATCAAGATCCCGGACTAGGGATCCGGGTCCGGGTCATAAAACGTTACAGATAATGCGTGTTTATACAATTAAGCCGAATAAGAAACAACGTGGAAGTCAGTGACATTAACATTTAGTACGATCAATAGGAAACAACACTGAAGTAAGTGACATTGATAGCTAGGACGAACATAATATTGACCAATAGGAATCGGCCAATAGAACTAGACTTCCGAAAATAGTTCTCTTACGATATTTGATAAATATCCTACCATAATAGATGTCAGTCCGTGATACGAAACTACTATTTACATAGAATATGTGCCGGTATTTGTATTTCTGTATACAGATTAGTTGAATTGATCAGTCCTCTGACTCTATATATTAGTTTCTTGAATTAACTAATCAATTGGTGTTGTTTGAGGTCCACATGCTAATCCAGCATTGCAATCGTAATACGAAATTTTTTCTTACTCATTAGATATGAAAAAGAATTCGCATCTCAGTAACTGACATTTCCACTGAAACTCAATCTTATATCACTCACTACACCAAAACATTGAATAATTGTGTACTATACTAAGTAATTAGAAAAGCTACCATTTGTCCAACGTCTAAATGTTACAATGAGTAGGATAGTGACTCACTGATCAAAGCGTTCAAATTTTAATCCTTTAGATCACAGGTTCAAAACTTGTTTCATCTACTTCCGTTTTTGAGTAACCGAATCATATCACTACCTCACCCACTTAGAGTGTGACTGAAAGCTAAATTCTACAAATTGATACACATCAGATGAGTTGATCCTAATAATTCAGTACATCCAGTTGACCAATTTCAAATAGTTTGACATGACTATATCTATATATAGTATAGTATAGTATATATATATATATATATATATATATATATATATATATATAGTATAGATATAGTATAACTATATCTGTCTACACCCAATCAATCTAATCGACTTTTGTAATTTCAGTCTGTCCCTTTTTTTTCTCATTTTTAGATTCATTCATTCATTGTACATTTAAAAAAAACAGCGAACAGAGTATCGTTGCATTGCATTTTAGTCATTTTTCTAATTCTCTTTTTCACCACAAACACTGTTCAACTTAAGATAATCACATTCTTTATTACTACTACTTCGTTTATTGATAAAATATACCGCTTATGATGTGTGTTTTTTTGTGTGTGTTTCACTGAATGACATGGTTTCTTTTTCCCAAACCCCCCATTCCCAACCGCCGCCATTGCTCTATTTTTTTTCGGTTGCACAATTTTTTCCCTCCTCCGCCGACTGATCTATAATTTTCACAAATATATACTTGATTTTTCCTATTATCAACTCAATTTTATTTTATCTCATTGTAAAATGTTAAAAGAAAAAATCATGGTTTGTTCGTTCGCTTTATTTCTCTCTCTTCTAAAATTATGTGTTGGTCATTGTGCGTTTCTTTTTTTGACTAAAGTTGGATTTTGTTTTTCACTGCTTTCCTGAGAGAATATTCCCTTCATCATTTAACCAAGTGGTGTGCAAAATTGTTGCTTCATTCATTTGAATTTATATTACTCCTAGGAGGATTGTTATTAATTGTACATAACGAATATCATTTTCATTTTTCAATAATAATAATAATAATCAATTTCAATGAACGAGATTTGTGTTAGTGTTCAGTATTCTGAAAATTAAAACAAAACAAAAATAATTGTAATCAGTGCAAAGAGAAATTGCGATAAATTTTCAGTGAACTGTTTGATCACTTGTCTGTGGAGTCTTATCAGTGCTGATGGCCTGGTGACTGACGAAATCTCAGCACGGATACAGGAGGCTCAATTGGCTTTTGCCAACCTGCATCACCTATGACGCAGGCGAGATATCCGCTTGAAAAGCAAAGGACGAGTGTACTGTTCAGCAGTTCGCTCCGTTCTACTATACGGATACGAAACGTGGCCGTAAAGAGTAGACGACATTCGTAGGTTACTAGTCTTCGATCATCGGTGTCTCCGAAGCATTGTTCATGTATCATGGGACAACCGCATAAGCAATGCTGTCGTTAGGAAACGAGTTCTAAGTAGGGATGGCAAATCAATAGATGAAGTAGTGAAACTTCATCAGTTGATGTGGTTGGAACATGTGTTGCTTATGTCTAACCACCGACTGTCTCGACGAGCTATGTTCTGTGGTGTAGTAGTAGGTTGGAAGAAAGCTAGGGGCGGCCAGACCAAAACATGGCAGAAATCCATGAAGTCACTGACAAATAGACTGAGTCATTTTGGTAGATGTAGGCTACCTGGTTGGGGTCCGCGAGACGAAAGACACCAGTGGTTAGAGACCTTGATCGACATGGCCCAAAATCGTTTGCAATCGCGCGAGTGCATCCACTCTTTGTGTTCTCTCTAATTCTAACCTTCTGAATTCCTCATATTCTCCATCTTTCTCCTTCTAGATTTATCTCACTGAATTATACTTCTCGAATCATACCTTCGCTCTGTAATCATCTCCATTACTGCTAATACTTCTACTTTCTCCATCACTCTTGAATTTGAACAGACAGTTGTGTCTCTGTGCTAATGTGGTATGACAACCTGAACTGATGTACTTACGTACGAAGTTCTGCGTTTTATCTGTCTGTCTAAACTGTTTGATCAACTGAAAATTAACTTTTTTTCTGTGAAAACTGAATCTTAACAGATTATATACATAGTTAATTAATTTATTAAATTCCTCCATAGATTACTTCTCTTTACCTATAAATTAAAACATACTATGATGTGTAAATTTAATCTTACAGATATAATAGGATTATCCATCTTCTATGACGCTTATAAGGATCCTAATTTTTTTTACTAAGGATCTCCATATGGTTTTTGGCTAAGGTTAGATTAATAAATTTCAGAATTTGGGCTGTAATTTTCATCAAGAATCTTTAACAGTGATGCTGAAACGCTTTACATTCACATAGACAATTGCAGTTCATGTGTTATTGTTGGTGACGTTAAATCCCCAGACCTCACTTAAGAAGGTCCTGATTTTGTAATTTTATTCTGAAATCTCGAATTTCCATGTTTTCGCACCGATTGACCTTCAGCTCATATTTCCCCCTCGAAAAATCCCCGATTGTCATTGGCTGATGGATTATTTCAGTACGCTATTTTGTGGCTCTCCCTGGAGTGTCTCCATTATGTATAAATAAGACCCATTTGTGTGCTTGTCGAATACACTTTCTACGCCTTATCAAGACTTCTTGATCTAGTTAGCCGGGCTGGAGACAAACGGACTAGAATAGCCTATCGTGTCACTGTATCATTGCTTTCGTCCCGTTTACCGAATAAGGTGAACTCGTAATAGTTTCAAGCATATCAATTGACGAGCATATCAGTTATATGATTAGTTTACTCACTGAGTATTAATCAAATAGGCTAAGGTTTATAGTTCATGGGTTGGTGTTTAGGGTTTGAATTTAGGAATACTGTCTATCGGCTTATTGCATGCACTGTATAGAGCTGAATGCGAAAAATGATATATTTAACAATATCGCTTTTTACCGTTTCCCAAATATTGATTTTTTGTTGTCATTCTTAAAGTTGTCAGCAGTAGGAAAAGATACTTCAAGTGCTTGTTGTATGTGGTATTCAAATGTCGCATAAAACAATAAAGTCGAATCCTAAATCTGTTTAAGCTCATCTCCGAATAGTTTCATTTTCCTGTTTCCTCTTCATTGACAAGTTCCGATTGTGATTCTTCATGTAAGCCATTGAAAATTCAAACTGTTTGCAACATGCTAAGAATGTGGAGATTCTGAGTTCCTGAAAATCTAAACCAGTCTCTTGAGTGTCTTAATCCGCTTTATGTAATAATGTGGATTATGCCATTGCTGATACATTATAATGCCACACGATAAAAGACAGAACATTCAGTAGTTTTAAACCAGACCATCTGACTTAACTAATTCAGTTCTCTTTGAATAGATGGAAATACGTGTCAGATTAACTGCATCCCAATTCAAAATGCCGTATGGTAGGCAGACTATGGCTAGTTTAAGCTCAGCATAGAGTGAATTATTCCATATTCTGAAAATTCCAGTGACAACTACATCTGATTTTTGAGTTCCACACAACAGAATATTCTTTAGAAATAATACTAGTGAGATTGAGGGTGGACTCGAATTACGTTAGTAAGATGATTGAATACTAGAAACTCGGGATATTGTAATTAACAATGAATTAGTGAACTCTAGATGAAAAATATTTCAAGTTTACTTATTAGATGAAAAACGCTTTCTTGTGTCAAAGCACTAACGGTTATCAAAAAACTGCTCGTCCATCAATCAATCAGTTGATAAGGGGTTCATCAAATGACTAACCCGTTTTATTATTAACTAACCAGTGACCTCTTTGACAAACGACACAATTAAACCGACAAAATATTCTTACAGTTATTGTCCATGAACCAAATCGAAACTTGTGATTTGAAAGATACCTAAAAGTTGTATAAGTCAAGAATTTAGTAGCTGCACAACAGGAGTATATACAGTGATTCTACATAAAAATAGTGTAACTAAAAGAATACTATGAAAATTTCCCACAATGTTTTATTGCACCGTGTTTTTATTTCTTGGCTCTTTGATTAGCTTTGGTAGTTAGCCTTAATCAGAACAACTGTAACTATTTTTATATTTCTAAGCCGTTATTATTTAACTTCGATGAGTGTTCACTGTTATGATTTAAATTTCTGTTGTTTGTTGCAGAATCATTGACAATTAGGCCATGTTTGCCCAAACTCAAGGTTACGGCACGGCTCCTTGGATGATTGATGAGCTTTGACTGCCTGTCGAAGGCAGCTAGTCAATCAAGTCTTTATAAGTAGATATTTAATCCCACCTAGTTGGGTGTCTTAGACACCAAACCATTACCTCTGCTGTCTGAATACACACGCAGCGAAATGCATTGAAGTACCGGTGTTTTGGACATATGCTGATTTAGAAATCAAAGATTTCAAACCACTTCACACTACTTTACAGTAGCCACTAAATGTTTGAAAACCCTCTAGACAACACAGGAAACCTGAATTCACGAAGATGATAATTTTTGACTGTGGATACAATGATTGTTAGTCCTAAACTTCAGCATTACACACCCAGCTGACTCTGCATACCAGTGTTTTAAGCCAAGGAGAACACGGTGAGCCTAACTCGAAGTATTGTCTTAGAAGTTAAAATCAACCATTCCGTCATTTACGAAAATCATGAACGGGTACAAATACGACAAATACTAAACCCTGTAAAATAAAAATCCGGATTGCTGTAACCCATTAAACGTCTTACAAGTAGGTTCATCATATAAAATTCGTATTATTAACAATACGCTCGGTACTATTAGAACTAACAGCAGATCTGAGAATGGACTGACCTAGTTCATGGGATATTATTAGATCAACATCTGGATTGTGTACTTAAGTCATTAGTACCTAAATTTCAAACTGCAGTCTTAATTACAAAACCTGTGGGTGGTATATAATCATTTGCACGATAATGTATAGCTTCTAAAGAAATCAAAAGCCTCATATTTAAATCTAGAACCCTTTTGTCAATTATTTCCATGGAGTCTCTTTTGTCACGTGATATTCATCATTTCCATTTATAATGGTAAGTAAATGCCAAAAGTAAATAGTTCTGTAAGTCTTTCATTACAGAGGTGTTATGGACAAATGCCTTGTCAAGCCTTGAATACTTGTAACATTTTCAAATGTATCCTCTCCTCTGTCCAGTTAATCGAATTCGGTAGAAGTAATAGGACTGACTGCAATTTTCAAATGTCTTCATGAATAGTAAGTTTATCGTATCAAAACTTTAACTTCGTAGTCATGTAGTCAACACGTTGAATTTATTTAACATTTCTGTGCTGATAAGTGTAGTAGTCATAAGCCCTCAGAGCAATACTCTGACGTTAAACCTTAGCAACTGAGGAACGTACTAAAGGTTTTTCAGGATGATACGTGAACTCTGAAAATTTTACATCGTTAACAATGGTATATCTTTTCTAAATACATATTTATAAAGTCCCTAACGATCCAAACAAAGTTAATGCTTCTCGCTAAATTCTCCAGCAATCTTGTTTAGATACATTACTTTCGTCTGAAATCTAGATTGCTTGCCAGTAGAAAGAATAAACCTATTAGGGTTCCAACAAGAAGGTTTAGTGCCACTAGCTGCGAAACAGACAGTAGTCCTACACAATGACTTGGTTCGATCGATTTCGCCACAATTAAAGCCTCTACCATCCCTAAAGAGACATCATAAGGTTTATTAATGCAAAAGAATTGACCTAATCTGAGCTCTTTGTTATGTGCTAATTTTAAGTTCATTGGTGAATTGCCTCTCTTGTTTCCAGGAGAATCGGAACCGCTACTAACCAAACGCAGACTTGCGATGCTTATAGAATATAATTCATCACAACGACCGAACTAGGTATTAAAAATTTAAGTTTCGAAATTAAGCTCATCAAATGTCCCGTGATAGATACTGCTTTGATTCATTAAAGTGAAATTCGATTTGGAATGGATTCGTTTACAAAATATCTACCCCAGCCAAAAACTGATTAGGCAGT